GTAAGTGAACGAATCGAGGCCTGCAGAGTGCGCCAATGATACTCCCTACTCTTCGTTCGTGTTCTTCTTTTTTAAGCTTATCTAGAGTCCTTATTTCATGAACAGGTTTCCTGTATCTTAGTGAAATGTTATTCCATATATAAACTACACGTCGCGTTGCTGTGATTCGGACCCCTCACTTGAACATCAGGGTGGTGACTTTCACCGAGACTCTAAGGTGACGGGAAAGCCCTTTCCAAAGTGCATGCATTCTCTGAATTAGAGGTGAGAGATCATCATGAGAGTTTTCTGGCTAACGGCTTACCATGCGTCTCACTAGTTCCCGTAACACGCTTCGTGGTGACCTTGAATTCTCCGGAGGATCTATATGATCAACGATGACCTCACGATACGAGTGGGACCATGCCATTGCTAGCTCGCATGGTGAATACACGGTGACGCTAGAGCCGTCTTCTTCGTCGTCACTTCAATCAGGGTGAGTTGTGATGCAGAAGGATGGAAGACGGACTAACATTTAACCTCAAGAATAGCATCCTATTCGCTTTTGCAATCGATGGCTCTAGCAATTCTCCGACCCTGATCAGACGCAAGGATAGAGATGTCCGCAAAGCCATCTCTCGAATGAGTCTGGATTGCGTTCTATTCGTTAACTGGTAAGCACACATTTTCTTGAATTCACAAGAGCAGGTTTACTGGGCTTCGTGACAGAACTGTGTCAAACGGCAACACTAAGCTGATGCAGGAAGATTGCAGCATGTGTAAATGACACTGTTACGTGTGAGGACAGTATGCATGGAATCCGTAATAACGGACTTGCAATCTTTAGACTGCAAATAATTTAGGAACACCGTATACTATGTGAGATCTTCATGTCTTGGTGTTATGGTGCATTTTCCAGTCCTGCCCGGTGCGTCATCATGTATATTGATATATTGAACAGAAGGTAACTCACATTGTTCAGTGCACGAAGCTCAGTACTCGAATCCTGCTTTCAATGACTGGTAGGAGTGGCAGATTTTCTGCAGACTGAATGGATCTAACGGAGGGTTACCGTAATACCTCTAGCCTCAGCGCTATCAAAAGTCGGTCATTTGGACGACAGATGACTATCATCTTCGAGTGAATGAACAGTTCATCCGTAATTCAGGAACTACGCATTTAGCCGTTAAATTTTGCAGGATACGGGATGTCGCAGTCATCTGTGTAACTGATATTGGAGAGGTAAGTATATTGACAGCTCGGGTGAAAGTAGAAGGGCTTACTGTTCATCAGAGAATACGAAATTCGGTCTTGTTGCATCGTCCGATTCTTATGCCAGATAGTGAATTTAAACGAGCCCTGTATGATTATTTCGTCAGTGATGAAACATTATGGAGATTTCCGGGAACAAAAACACGTAGGAATTTCTCTGAGCTGTTGCTTACCATCAATCCTGGCTTGTTCAGTACTCAAAGTTACCTCTCATCGTTGCACTGCAAATTATATCTTGATACGGCAACTCGGATGAAATGACCAGAGCGTGTGACCGATGACAGGAAGGGTCAGTAAGGGAGTGGATATTGCAATGGTTTCCCGGAACCAGAGATGATGGTGTAGCTTAGGCTGTTCATACCTCAGAATTCACATTTGCTTCCAGTTTCGGGTTCAGTTCACAGTTATTGGATATCATGGAGTATCAGACATCTCAGGATCAGGGAAATCAAGTGAACTTGCAGGGTCCAGACACTCAATTCTTCATATTTCAGGCTTGATACTTCAAGGCTTGATGAAGGCGGAAGAGGAGCACTTGCCGATGCACTCAAAATGCGGGAAGGATTGCTGAATTGAAAGGTTCTCGAGGTCACACGTCATCTGGAAAAGAAGATGTGTAAATGCCGTAGTTACAGTACATTTAAGAAGCAGAAGAGAATTCGTACGAGCTTTCCTGTGCCCCTAGAAGGCCCTGGGATTATGGCGAATGGAAGACGATACTCCGAGTGCGTTACTTGGATAAACGTGAATACTGCGGTGGGTAAGCAAATATACAGTGAAGCACATGTATCCTCAGTTCTTACAAGCGACTATTTTATTGATGTTAAAAATTGTAGAGCTTGGAAACGAAGCTGAAAAGGTATATAAGCATCGGGAAATTATGTGATCGTGCATCCCTCCCTCTTACCTTTATGCTGCATCCCCACCTCACTCCCTTGTGTAATAGACATCGACGTGTGCATGTACCCCTCTCCATGGTGTCATGTCGCGCTTGGATTGAGGATCCATTATTGGGGCATCGTCGCTGTGATGGGAGGTGAACGCTCGAAAAGGGATGTTTGGCAACAGCGTCGTGTTTGGCAACGGCGTTTGTGTTTGGCACGACCATTTCTGCTCCTCGCACTGATGTCCCTCGATCCGCCAATTTCGTTTGCGCGTCCTCTTCTGGCATTTGGCTCTACCGTTCACCTCCTTTCGCTCGCAGGTATGCCATGCACGTAAATTCAATGTCATGTAAGTTTTCTTCTACTGTTCCTTATCCCATTTACTTATCTTTGCTGTGACCTCAGGATCTCGGTGTACGCCCATTTCTCGACAGGGCATACTCAATTTTGCGGAAGGGTGAGATATGGAACATGGAGAAGGTCGATTCATGTGGACGATGCAGGCTTGATCGTGATCAGATGTCTTCCTGATACAGGTCAGTTGTTCATTCGCCCTTAGTTTTCCATTTTCATTGACAGGCTATCATGTAAGTGGCTCTCTGCCGTCTCCCTAGTACCCCCTCAAGTTTCTTGATCTGTCTTTGTTACTCTCCCCATCCTCGCCTCCATCCCTTCGTGAACGACGTATCGACGTCTGGCCGAATATCGAATATCAAAGGGAGCATGCTATGGGGAGGAGCGGAAGTAAGGGATCGATGCGAGAGCAAGCATCACGAAGTCGATGGACAGCGCTGAGGGGCACCACACTGCAGGATCAGAAGGGACGTGTTTGATTGACAAGGTTCCGTACATGAAGTTGACGTATCTCTTCCGATCTCAGATCCGTCTCCCCTCAACCCCTGCCGTCAACCGTCCATTTTATATCGGCTCTCCTCCCTCGTCAACTCCTTCCCTCGCCCCCTCGCCCCATTCTCCATGGCCCTTGCCTCGAAACAGGCTCGTTTTGCGTCGCTGTGATGTATCGATTTCTGGCGAGCGAGGTGGGGGAGGAGTGGAGGAATGGTGTGGGGGGAGAGTCGAGGACGTGCAGCTGGGAGGGAAAGTCATCCAGACAACCCTCCTTTGTTGCACTGCACCTCGCTTGATCTGCACCGCCTCTGCCCCACCCATCCATCCACCAGCACGACATATCACCACGCCTCTGCCGCCCGTAGCATCGGACTGGTATCCGGGCAGAAGGCCGACTTTGCCTGGAGAAGACATCGAATTTCAACAAGCAAGCTCACGAGAACGCGGATGGCGATGGCGTGGAGGGAGGGGATGTTGAAGCAGAGGGTGGACGATCGGCGTACTCGTCGATCGTCGTCTACCCGAATCCATCCCTTCCATGGGGACTGGATCCCAGTACACCCTCCGCACCACTCACTGTGGTCGACGCTGTCGGTTGTGAGTGTTGGGGCAACATATATTTTGTTGGAGGGCTGTTCAGGTATGTGTTTATATCTCCACGTCTCTGTCCCTGACTGACGACAATCCTCACAGGAATATTGACTACATATTGTGCTGGATATCACTGTGTAGGTTGATCCACAACTCGGGATTTGGCCTGAGGCGAAGTATCAAGTTCCGACGAGCAAGGTGACGAGTACGACGGCGATGGGGATGTCACGGCAGAGGGTGGAGGATGATCGGCATACTTGTTGATTGCACTGAGCTTCCACTATCTGCATCCACCACCTCCACGCAAACCCGTCTTCTTCAAGACCTGCACACCACTCACTTCTGCCGGCGCATGGGCCATGGATGTTAGGGTGACATGTATCTCGCTAAAGGCCTATTGAGGTACATGTTTTCATCTGCATATGCCTTTCCTTGACTAATCACAATACTCACAGGATTATTGACGATGACTTATGCTTGACATCGCTCTGCAGGCGGAACAGGAGTCGTGTTTTGTGCGGAGACGATGTATCGCATTCTGGCGAGCAAGGTGCAGGCATGTGCAATACAAGGGAGGACGACAGTGCATTGATTGGATGTGCACGCTTTACCATGCCTACGTGTACACGCACTCCTTCCCCCACATAATCTTGTCTCTCCGTTGCATGCCAAGTCGCTGTCAGTATGATGCGACTCAATCTTGCTGGTTTGAGTCGGGAGCGACGAGTAGAAGGTATGTGCTCACCGGTCGAGTCATCGATCACAGGGCTAACACGGTTTCTGCAGCAACAGCTTGTGTCGTCCCATTAAGTTTGGTGAGTTTGATCTCCTGCAAAGCTTTGACTACGGCTGATGTCTCGCTGCAGTGATTACTTTGTCTCCAAGACACACTTCAGGGAGCCGCCCACCGGACGCCTTTGCCCACCCCCGTCTAGCCCGTTCCGTTCTAATTAAATAGGCGTATTTTGAGGAGGACTCGGGGTTGGGTAACGGCGTCTTGTGATTGACTCGTACAGCATTGAATTTGGATTTGAAGGTGAGCTGACTTGGCTAATGCTTTGGACGCAATTCTGACTTGCTCATATCTCTAGCTCGTTACTGTCTCTTCCAAGGTAGGTCCCTTGGGTTAGGGTTACAACCGGACCCACAACGGTTCACCTCGGTTGGCCGTTGGAACGATTTGAACGGGAAACTACGCTTGTTCTTCTTACAAAATCCAGGAAGCCCCCCTCATTTTCGTGGAATGTACAAGTACCTTGGGGGTGGGGAAATTATGATCCTACGAAAAACAGTTGAGGTGACTTGACACTGTTTTCATGCCGGACCGTGGTAATTTTTTTTTTTACTTCGCAAACTCACTTTCGCCGATCTATTTACTTTTTGTATCCTACTAGTATCAATATAAATCCTTCTTCTTGGTTTCCTTATTGCCCCAGTCCTCGTCGAGAAATTGCGCTTTTTGTCGTTGTCGAACGTTATCTTTGATGCCAGCACTGCCACTTTGCGGAATGGAGTTCAATACTAGCTCATTGTTACCGTTCAAGCGTTCTCATCAGAAATTTTTGAACCAGTATGTTCGCGTGAATCGTCAGCTTGTATAGAGTCTAATTATATATTGTTAGGTCTGGAACTCGATCTCAAGTAAGCCTGAATCCTTTTGAGGAGACATCATTGGCTAATCATCAACTTCAGCTCGGTAGAGAGAGTTGTAGAGTACCTGGAGCTGCCCCAGGAACCACCCGCTGTCATCAAGTCACACCGGCCATCTGCATTCTGACCGTCGAGCTCAGAGAATGACAATCTAATCGCGGTCGAGAATCTGGTCGTCAAGTACTCTCCCGAGTTACCTGCGGTTCTGTAGGACATATCTTTCACTTTGAAAGCAGGGGAAAGGATTGGTTTTCTCGGTTGGACCAGGTCAGGAAAGTCGACCTCAGCTTTGAGTATTCTGCGCTTCGTAGATCAGACGGAATGGTGTATTCTCATCGATGAGATTGATACATCAACAATTGGTATCCATGATCTTCGGTCGTGACTAATAAGTCTTCCCCTGGTCCTAAGGCACGTTCTGACGTCCTAGAAGACTTTCATCCCACGAGACGTGATCCTCTTCTCTGGCACGTTTAGAGATAACCTGGATCCTTTTGGTATTGTTTGCTCTGTATTATTGTGTTCTATGAGTCTAAACAATGGCGCAGGTGAGCATGACGATGCAGAATGCATGGAAACTCTGTACCGTGTACAGATGATCTCACAGAGCCAGTTCCCTTCGCGACGCACTTCTCGTGCTCCTTCAGATAGCCTTCAGAACTGTCGACATCTGCAGCGTCTCGTCCAGCGTCTGTCCACGAAGACACCACGGATTCTGTATCTGCTACATTTACTGATGTCGATGCTACAACCACCGTGTCTTTGGATACAAAGGTTTCCCCAAGAGGTACCAACTTTTCTCAGGCACAAAAACAGCTGATCGCGATGGCAAGAGCGTCACTCCGACGCAGGCTCAATCATTGTTCTGGATGAGGCTTAAAGTAGCGTCGACTTTGCCACAGATGCAAAGATCCAGAAGATGATCCGGGAAGAGTTCACGCAATCATTACTGTTGATGAGTAAGAGTAATAACATTTGTGAGATTCTGTTGTCTGACCATTCACAGTAGCGCATCGACTCAGGACTGTGATTGAAATTTACGACCATCTTATCGTCCTTGACAAGGGAAAAGATAGCCGAATTCGATATGCGGCTACGCTTGATACAGCAAGAGGATGGGATATTCTGGAACATGTATATGAAGTCTGGTAGCGTCAGCGAATGCAAAGGTTGGGCGTGATGAGGCGTCTGGAAAGGCTCAAGACTATTAAGGTATCACACAATTCCTTGATACATGGCCCTTGGTTACGTCGTTAATTACGTTCAAGCAGCTAGTATATACAGTCATAGAATGAGACATCTCCTTGGCATATATTATAACTTCTTCGCCCGTTTACTTCTCCTCGCGTTCTCTTCGGCAGGTGGAATGTTTTCTTTGTTTTCGAGCCTTCTCTTTTTCTTCTCTGGTGGATTGCTATTCAAACCCGGTCCTAGGCCGTCATTCCCGGCTACCATCTTCGTCGTGCTCCTAGTTATCCGCTGGTTACTGAGGGCCATATCCAAGTTGGATGGTGAAGTCTGTACAGGGACATCGTCCTCTAGACAGTAGCCCTCATCTTCAAGACCATACATTTTCGCAAAGCGCTCGCGGGCTGACTGCGATTCAACTTCTATGTTTTCTTGTAGTCGTGCCTTCTGAATAAGCTGTGCAACGGAAGGAACCTTCCGGGGCCGACCAGCTTTCCCAGGTGCATTCTGTGGAGACGAATTGAACTTAAATGCGATCGCAGAACGTAGTAAGACAAACCTTGAGCTTGGGTTTTCGTCCTGGCTTTCCAAGTGAATCAGCCAAGGCGACGTGCGGGTTGGTCATGTTTGCCTTTAGGTTGTGGAAGTTGGCGGGTCCAACAGTACTTTTGTACCCGTCGAACCGATGGTCTCGAGCATTGCGCTATAGTAAATCCAAAATAACAGGTTAAACACAAATTGACTGTGAATAGCAGCGACTAACCTCCCTGCCGCTCACCCAATGTGATGGTGGCTTTGCACGGATCACGGTGTATACATCCAGTGGTTTACCCCGGTGATATACAGGCACCTTTACAAATGTATGGTCACCTTCTTTGATGAGTATCCCATCATTAGGAACGTAGTCTCCACCTAAAAATCATTTTTTCGGTGTCAGTACCATTACTTCAAAGGTCAAATGTAAGGACATACCTATGTGGTGGTTGGGATCCAGTAAACCCAAGGAAGAAATACGATTGTAAAGGCTAACTGGGACATTAACAACCGCCTTACGAAATACCTGCATGTATCTTGCAGAATATTTTGCATCGACACCCTCCTGGAAAGCGAGGAAGTTCTCACAGCTGTTGCTGTTTGCAACAAGCTTGTTCAAACTCGGGTGTATTGAACTGTGAGATGTATTCAAAGAGGCCTTGATGGAACGCTTCGAATTTCTCGTCATCCTCACAGATTTCAATGGCAGGCATGCCTGGAAAAATGCCAAGAACATGCAGAGCATCGTTGCAAAGATGCCGTCCAAAAGGGGCAAAGACCCTATCAGTACCACCGTCTTTATCACCATTGTTTTTGATGCCACCATCTTTAGCAGACATGCACTCCAGGATGGTTTTTCGATGAAGATCCGAGTTCCTCTGGATATCAGAACGCCAACGGAGAAGACCTTTTTCTGAAAGTTCACGCTCTCTGATCCAGTCGGGCCCAGCTTCAAATGGCTCCCACAAGCGGTCCCACCACTGCATTGTTATTATTAAGCAAATTAATGATGTCCAGAAAATGATAACACGCACCTCAGACCCAGCACGTAAATCGTTCTGAGTCCACATCCGATCGATGCTTGTTACATAAAACCGTATCAGTCTTGAATGGTCAATAAGGAGAAAGACTCTTTCGGAGGATATGAATGCGGCCATGATAGTGAGATTTTTAACTTCCGAAGAGGGATTAGCCATCGAGTGAGGCGGAAGTTTGAACGATCTTAGACTGGCAGCTTTGAAGCATCTTTGTTTGGTCCAGGGCCACGAGACTGTAGAAGCTCGTCAAAAGCACGACGTGGTATGTCCAACAGATGTGCCTCAAGCCCCCAGTGAATAGTGAGGCAGTGCTGAAAACGAGATTATCAGCAAAGTTGTGTATGACAAAGCAAATGGAAGAGAGAGACATAGCCTGCTGCAATGAGAGTTTGTTTTCCTCTTGTTGCTACCGATACAGGCCCAGGAGTAGTCTGACGGAGAAGGTAGGACGACGACCGGTATTTCGCCGTTTGTGCACGTTCATGATCCCATCTGTCCATCATGGTGCTTGGCTCCTGTGGTTCAGAAGAAAGGGAGTAATCTTTTGAATTGGAGAAAAGAGAGGTGTAGTCCTTTTTTGGTGTCCCTTGCGCGAGGGAGCTGAAAAATATAACCGGAGCAGCTGTCAATAAAACATTATTAACATTGAAAACTGAGAATCAAGTGAGAATTTTACCTTCTAGAGGGGTGTTATGCCGTCTCCAGTGTTCATTTCTGGCTTTTCGTATAATTATTTCAAAAGCGGAGACCTCTGGACCTTCCGGCATAGTGAGAGAAAGGAAGAAGTTGTAGATCAACCCGATCAACATTGCAATCAAACGCGTCGCGTTGGCTAGTCACAGTCATGTGATTCGTCACAATACCCCCACCCGAGCACTTGAAATCATTCTCCTAGATTTTTAGCTGTGCCAATTCATTCACTTATTATTTTCTTATACATATTATATGCATGTAGTCATAATTAAGTCACATTCAGAGGTGTTAATTGTTGTCTAAAGACTTATATTATCGAAAAGATCTTGCAGAGGCTTTGCCGGGTTCCTGCTAGGTTGCCGGTCATGCCGCTTGCAGTCAGCCGACCTTAGGCAAGTTTGGGGTGAGGAGAATTCTGCGTTCGACCCTTGCGTGCGTGCGTTCAACTGCGTTCAAATGCTTTCAACTTGCTTGCGTTTGCGTGCATTTGCCTGCGTACTATCAAGAATAATACTATCATGTGTATTTTTATGGTGTACTCAACTACTTTGATGTATTTCCTGGACATGTATCAGCAACTTTCTATGACTTGAAAACAGTGTGAAACTGTCCTGGAAAGCCATAAAGGCATGAAGTTTGGTTAGTATATGTCTTAGAATATAATCCTCTTACTTCAGTATCATTTCGCTTTGAAATAGTTGCGAACCCTTGCTTTTTTGGACTTTTGGTAAACCGGAAAACTTGTGTGCACCTCTCAAATGGATGCAACTCGCTTACACTACTCAAAAACAAGTCACGCATGGGTTAATAAATTTGAACGCGAGCGTCGTTGTAATAAAGGCACGCTGATGAACCTATAGACTCCCGTGGGCGGAAACACAAAACCTAAGTGCGGTATGTGCTAACAGACATGGAATCTGAAGGATGGTTCTAGCGAGTCTAGTCAGGGCACCTCCATGCAGTGACTAAAGCCTCCTAAGTTCGGAAAGATAAAGAAATTTCTCTACTAGTAGCATAGAGGGCAGTAGCGAACTATAAAATTCGCAGGAAGGGAAGTAATTGGGAAAGGGATTCTAGAAGAGGCCCTAAAATGAATCAGTAAACGTACAAGGACTATATCTTGTTCCTGTTGCAACTCTAGCTGCAAGTGCAACAAATAAGAGCTTTAAAGAGACTGTCCAAGTTCTAGCTGCGAACTCAGAGGCTGTAGCGAATTATTAAACTCATGCAGTGAGGTTGAATTGAAGTGATGAGGATCGGTCTGATACTCGACGAGACTTTCTCTGGCTGCGAGAAAGCGAAGGCGTTGATGGGAGGGATGAAAATGCTGTCTCCTAGCTGCGGAAGCAAGTGAATTTGTTTGCGAAGCAAAGCAATAAAAGAGTTTCCTAGTGGCGGGACTCCTAATTACTTTGCGTAGAAGAGAGGGATGGGTTGTAAGCACAAGTAACCATTAAAGGTTCACCGTTGCTTAGAGAAATAAAGGTTTCGAGACGAAGTTCTAGCAGCAAAATGTCTTTATTGCACTACTTCAAGGGTGTATGTTGTATGGTGTAGGTGTTAGGGATCGAAGGTAAGCGTAGAGAATAATCTGGGGTCTCCCTTATTCTCCTCCATACATTTCTAAACTCGCGAACTTAAATACTCGCTACACTGGCTAACTAAGCTACCTTACTCTAGCACTAAGATTACTATAGCGCACATTATTCAAGTTTTTACTTAGCAAAGTTTGTAAGTATGCACAGTTACTGCGCCTAAGGCTATACTAATATTACCAAGAGTCTTCACTAATCAGCTTTCCAATACTTTCGATGATTAACTCTCTATGGCTGCGGCTGACTTGCCGTAGTTCTAACTACGCGACGCGTTTTGGAAGGCTACTCGTGGATAATTCGTGACTGCCGGGGGGTTTCACGTGGGGTGGCAGTGCGGATTCTAGACTACGAGGCACAACGTCCGCGGGGAGAAGGGAAGGATCAATAGGGCCGATGCCGATGACATCATACGTGAATCAATAACTTCGCGTGCTGATCGTCGATTGGCATGGTGTAACTTGTATCTTGCTTGCAATCATTGAATTAGGGAAAGTCCGCTATAGGGACAAGTTTGATAAACTGTAGGTTATTTCCGCGATTTCAGAGCGCACAGAGCCTAGAGGCTCATCATCTCCCCCTGACTATAATTTTTAATTGCATTGTCGTCATGTTTTTCTCGTCGCGAACTTCTTTTCATTGAATGAGTCAGAAGAAGCAAGTTCGGAACCGGCATGCGTGATTTTTGCCATCAAATTGGAATTGATATGTGCCTGGTCGTTACACTGATGTCGAAATAGAACGCACAATGCTTCGTTTTGACGCGAAGTTCTGACTTCTCGTTGAAAGTAAGAATGTTGCTTGAAGTCGCCGCGTCCTTTTCATGTGGACTCCATCGGTGTCGGTCATGGCTCGTGCGCAAGGTTGCATAGTACAAAACCCGCGTACTTTCCCTTCAAGTCCTTACTTTCGCCGTCTGCGAAGTTTTAGTAGTATAGCATGTCTACTCCTTTTTATAACTCTCTCTTTCTTCTTTCTTATCTCGTAGAAAACCCTCCCGATAGTTCGGGGAGCGCGCCGTTGACCGATGAGTGGGTTAGTGAGGCCTTCACGCATTGGTCACGGTTGGATACTGCGTGGCAAGAGAACGAGCCTGGGTTCTTGTCCGAGGAGGAGTGGGCGTTGTTGGAGGATAGCCTTTGGTGTGTCTTGATGGACATTGATACCGGCGAAGTTGAAAATTCGATTGAGGACTTTAATTGTCTGGCATCCCAAGCGGTAAACACTTTTCCCGACTTTTCTTGTTCTCTACTAACTTTTGTCTTTTCTGTAGACAGAGCGTGGGGTACAGGTGGACTTGATCACTATACCAGATTCTCCACCAGCTAGCGACGATGGCTCTAGTACTCCTCGTCCCGCAGATTATATTTCTCAAGAGCCCGGCCCCCTTCATTCAATTTTTGAAGGTAAGTCCTGGCGACCTTTTCTTTCCTCTTTTTAATTATTTGTTTCCGCAGACTCCAATTCTCCACCTCTTCACAACTATATCTGGGAGGACGATATTGTACCTTCCCTCACTACTAAAGCTGCGGTAGAAGGTACTCTTTTCCTTGCGAATTTATTATTTCTCTTGTTGACCCAAATATTTTAACAGACACCCCCAGTCGCACCCTTCGTCCTCGTGTACAAGGTCGTGCTGTCACAGCGTTGGAGGCGTCGGGTGCGACCGAGGCAATTATTTCGCATGCTTATGGTCTGGGCACCAGTACTGTTCGTTACGTTAATTGGCGCTTACTTGCTGCAGAAGGAATTCCCGAGGAAGAAGTCGTCCTTCCTGCAAAGCGTCGCCGTGTTGAGGATTCTCCTCCCCGATTGACTGCTGAGGAAAAAGGGAAAGGTCGTGCCGTGGCTAGCTCGTGTAAGTGTTTCTTTGTTTGTTGCGAATTTATGACGGATTCATATTTTGTTTAGCTACTCCTGGCCTTCGCAGAGGTCGTCCCCGTAAAATTCGCGAAGAGTCTGCCTCCATGACTCACAAACGCGGAGGTTTAGGTGAACCTATCCCCAAGAACGCGCGCGAAATCCAAAGTCCGGATCTTCGTCCCATTGACTTGATCATTCCTGATCAAGATTTTGATGATTACGTCGGTTGCCAAGGCGCGTATTTTAGACGCGATATTGCCCACAAGTTCGGGCACTTTGTAAGTCTTTAGTTTTGTGCGTTGCGAATTTTCTTGGCTGACCCTTGTAACTGTTTTAGATGAGTACGCCTTGTGATGCCTGCAAGAAGGCCAAGGCCCAGTGCCGCAGTGTTCGGTCTGCCTCTACCAAGTGTGCGCGATGCGCTATTCACAAGCATGATTGCTTGGTAGATGGTAACCGTGAAGTTAACACTCTGGAATGGGTCTTCGTCCCTCAACCTTGTAAGTCTTTTTCTTTCTTTTCACGGCCTTTTTCTGACTTAATAATTCGCTTAGCTATCGTTTCCGAAATTCGCGAGTTCCTTCGTCGCATTCGCCAGGAGGCTCGTTGGATTAACGCGTCGGATAAGCCTGCCCCTTCTTTTTACCGGGCGGCTCATCTAGACAACGCCAACTTGGTATCCGAATTATTTGAGAAGGCCGTTGTCCAAAACGAGTCTCTAATTGATGACGAGGCTATTGAATCAAACGGTGAAGGTGAAGAAGGCGATGACGAGGCCGAGGAGTCTAATGGTGAGAGGGAGGACTTGGGTGAACTCGAAGATTAAATTCGCGACTTCTTGGGCCTGACTTTTCTTGGGAAAGATTGGACTTTTGTTATATATTTTATATCATCGTCTACTTGTAGCACTTTGGAGTGCAAACCGATTCATCTTATATTATCTTGGACTTTTCGACTGAGTTGTGAATTCGAGACTAGGTAGTGATTATACGGGCTCGAACTTATTAGTTCGCGTGTGGTCGTGTGATGATGTAAGTAATCATACGTGATGACCTTCTTTTCTTGGCGAAGTTCGAGTTTATATTTTTAGAAATGATGGGGTAGTGTCATGGGCAAGGCTGCTGTTTGCTTTGCCTGGTCCTTTTGTCATCGAACCGGCACCTTGCGTAGTCATAACTTCTTTACTAATGTTTGTATTAGCAACTTCTCTTTCACCAGTTATTTTTATCTTCACTGGATCGGAAAGTATCGCGTGTTTTCTTTGAGGGTAGTGTGGAGGAAACTTTCGTGTTTTCTCGTTGAGTTTCTTTCATGAGTTAGCGAAATTTTGGTTTCGGAGGGATGTATGGTATGCCACGCGTATTATTCACATGTCACAACATGGTAACATGTCCCCTCCCCCTGACTATGAATTTTTCGCCGTTTTGATTAGCGAATTATTTAGAACTCAGAGGAATATTGTTCAGGAGCCGGTATCCTGATGGCTTGCGAATATTCAAGGCAGAATGCGACGTGATCGGTTCTGGGGCTGTATTCCGGTATGATACGTAGAATTTTCAAGTCTGCGATGAATGTTGAATCAGCAGATTTTTCCGCCGCCGCTAGTTTTTCTTATATAAAAGGCGGTTCCATTAGCGAATTTTATTCTTCGTCAAGTCAATGACTGCTATTTCTTTCCCTCCTAAACCTCCCCCGCTTTCCGAGGTTATTGCTCGTCTTGAGGACCTTGTCTCTGTTCAAGTCCCCAAGTTTGCGTCGCCTGAGAAGGTGGACGAGTGGTTCAAGGCTGCTCGACAGGTTATCGTACGTCGTTTATTGCTATCGCGAATCTTTTTAAAAGGCTAGAGTGCCTATCTCCAGGACCAGATAACTATTCACTACCACGATATTCGTGGGTCCCAATCGTTTACTAGGTTGACACGTAAGATCACCATCTTACTTCGCGTTCACGATTATTATAGTGCGTGGGCACGTTTGCGACTACACTCTCGACGTGGAGGTTCCACTTTTGACAGTTCTCTGTCTCCTCTCTCTCTCCCGCTCGAGGGCTTCCGTGAACCGCCTCCGCGTTTCCCATCGCCACCGCCGTCTCCTTCTGACGACGACGTCCCTATGTCTGGCCCCAACCCATCTCCTTGCATCGTACAAGGTTCGCCATCCTGGGGTCGTTCCTCCTGGTCCATTACAACTTCGCATCCCTCGTCCGACGACGAGAATGCTACTGTTCATGGAACTACACCTTCGATTTCGAAGGGTCCGGGTTCTAAGACGAATGGATCCGAGGTCGGTGGTTGGGTAAGTCTCCCGAATGTTTTAATTCGCTTCTTTACTTAATCAACTTCTTATAATAGTTTGCTACTGGTCCCGGTGATTGGGATCCGCTGCCGACTATCGAAGATTTGGCTGCTAAGCAAGGTACCTTAGGTGATGCCCAGGCTATCGCCGACAAGATTTCTGAGCGAGTCGCACCTCGCACTCCGTTTGAGGGTCAGGCTTTCGGGTCTTCGTTCTGCGCCTTCTGCAGTGGCACCCCTCGTCATGCTGCACATGAATGTCCAGCCAGGAGTACCAAGGTTATTAACTTTCTTTGCGAATATTTCTTTTACTTATTACGAATTATTTTGATTTTATTGATGGCGAAAAGGTTGCTGTTCATTAATACGGCGCTTCTTTTATAGGCTTTCCATATTATTGCGACTGAGAAGATTGACTCGATGGTGTTTGCTGATGAGCCTGGGATGCATCCTGGAACTTTTGGGGTACGCTTTGATCTGCGGTTGGGGAAGGAGAAAGAGGCTTGGGTTAGGTCATTGATGGTCAACTGAGCGAATGGACATTATGGAACATCAAGGATGGAGATATGGATTCGAAGCTTTGGAGGAAATGAGGCAAATATTCATACTACTCATGGAATCAAGAACGGATTTAACGGGATTATCAGGATTATCGCAATACATGGCCTTCACGTCGAGCAAGCTGAAATCTTAAAATGGACCACGAGCCTCTTCGTTCACGAAGACACAAAGCTATGCGAAGTAGAACACTCGAGAGCCTTGTGGGGTATAAACTTGGACATTGCATTCACCAACTACTGAAGCCGTACTTGAGCACGACATACGTCATATCAGGCATTTAGCTGAGGAGGCCGGTAGTAATTATTTTCAATATGGTTTCTATCCACTGTAGTGCTGTAATCTGGTTGATGGTTCTTCCATCTCTATCCAAGTTCAGCCAGCGTGACCATGTCATGTGGCTTGTGTGAGATATATTGGTCGAAGCATTATCCACGGTGTCCATGGCCTACCTTATCTCTCCTTTGGCTACCACGATAACTTGGGTGTTCGATTTGTTTGCTTCTGTCCTTGCAGCTTCTCTTTCTGTCTTTATCCGTTCCCATTATCTGTTAAGGTTACTACCTCCAGGTCCGCCTGGTCATTGGCTACTCGGGAATGAGATCCCTACCAAGTGGTGTGTCGTTCGTGGCATTATTGACTATCATCAGTTTATTTGAGAAGGGCATTTTTGAAGTATGAAGAATGGACAAAGGAGTACGGTCCGATTTATTCACTGACTCGGTTTGGAAAGGTGTATATCGTCATCGGGCATTATGATGTAGGCTCGTCTTTTGTTCTTGAGCCTGAGATTGATATCTGATTGTAGGCTGCTATAGAAATAATGGAGAAGGGTGGGTCACAGACGTCGGACAGACCAAGGTCTATTGCCAGATCTGAGACGTTTTCTGGAGGCCTAAGATCGATTATGCTGAACGATACACCGAGGTGGAGGATTTTGTATAGGATAGTTATCCATCTTGCATAGCACGAGGCTTAGGCTAACGAATTATTCATTAGGGCTTTTCATTCATACTTGAAGACCGACAAGGTAGCGTCTTATGAGCCTCTACAGCTACATCATGCAAAAAATACATTCTCAATATCCTTGATGATCCGAAGGGGTTTACAATGCACACAAATACGTATGCACTTTGGTCAACCCCCGCCGAAGCCATATTAAGTACTGCTAAATAGATACGCGGCATCAGTGACCATTACCTTGACATATGGGAAAACGACGCCGAGGACTCTTGATGATCCCGATCTGCAGGATATGGTTCGAGATTCAAAACGTTTTCGCATGGTAATTCTCCCCGGGGCTTACCTCGTAGATACCCTTCCCATTCTTCGATGGGTTCCTGGTATCTTGCCGAGCTGAAGAGGTGGCATCAGGATTCGCTTGTGTTGATCCGTCGGTGTGTGTAGAATTCAAATGAGAATAGTTGGTGTATTAAACATTGATTTCTCCAGGAGGTTCTATTGGTTTATTCTAGGACGCTGGGGAAGACGTCCCCGCTTGTTTGGGGAAAGATCTCTTAAATAATAAGATGTCTTTCGACCAGGCTGCGTATCTTGCGGGGGCAATGTTTGGTGCTGGATCGAATACGGTTCGCTTTCTGGCTCTTATGTTATTGGCTGTTACAAAAGTGTTTAGACTGCGGCTGCACTAACGTTTCTTGTCATGGCGGCTGCCTGTTTTCTTGATGCGGTAAGAATTGTACAGAAAGAGATTGATGAAGTAGTTTCTGATGATCGATGTTAGCAGTGTCGACGTCTTGAATGAACCTTTGCTGACCGTAAGTTTGAATAGGTCCAACGTTCGATCATAGAGAGCGGCTTCCGCAGGTTATGGCATTTGTCTATGAGTGCTATAGATGGTATGCGTGTTCTGTCGAAGGGCCTTATGATCAGGACTGATAGAAGTTTCGGAGAGGCGGCCGTTGGTGCCGAATGGTACTTGCTTAACAGTCAGTATATCAGTGAAGGGCTAACAGTTTACTAGGAATTGCGCATGCCGCTAATCAGGATTTTATTTGGATCAGTTGTCTCCTCGCATAGCATCTCATTCCTTCCTAACGCTCCTCCAAACAGAAAGGCTACGTTATTCCCAAAGGAGCAACCATTGTCGCTTCGCCTTGGTACGTCTATGTTTCCGGGTCCTTGAACATCTTGTGCTAAAATGAACGTAGGTCAATTTTCCGTTCACCCGATATCTTTCCTGATCCCGAAAAAATTGAGAGAAGATATAAAGCAATTCGTTTATGGTTTTGGTCGAAGGCGAGATTCCTTGTATTCGTTTGTTCTCGGTAGTTGTTGATGTGTTATATCCGTAGAGTTTGTCCCGGAGCACGCATTGCAAACAGGCGAGCGTCACTCTGTGTGCCTACGTCCATTGAATGCTTATGTTTCATGTGGTGAAAAGGTCACTGTTCATTAATACTGCGCTTCTTTTCTGGGCTTTTGATATCACTGATACTATGAAGATGGACCCGAATGCGTTCGCCGATGAGCCGGGGATGTATCCGGACAATTCTAGGGTACGCTTTGATTTGCGAGCAGGGAAGGAAAGAGAGGATTGGGTTAGGTCGTTGATGACTCAATGAGCACCCGGAGCGACGGGGATATGAGATACAGATTTCATGGGAGGAACACAAACAATTTGAACGATGAAAAGGAATATTATATCAATGAAAACGTATGATATACAAGAACATAGAAAGTCGCAGTCAAAAGGTTGTAGCTTTGGGGGACAGCAAGTATCCGTACAATCCCCGACGTCAGGGAACAAAGAGTTCAACGGGATCCTCAGGATTCTCGCAATACACGGCCCTCACTACGAAGGAGCCGAAGTGTCCCAGACGGCCCCTCAGCTTCGTCGTCCATCGATAAACAAGACCATCCCAATGCCCCAGTGACCATTCCGAATATGGAACAGCGTTAATGATGACGATTTCCAGGCTATCAACGTTATGAGCGTGTTCGACGAGGGATTTCCACAGCCAGTCAGAAGTGGCGCGCTCAAGGTCATACTGGAAAGGGTCTGGGCGACGAAAGGCAAGTAGGATTTGGAGATGGTGGAGGGATGGTTTAGTGGGGACGGCTTTGAGCTTCTCAATCAGTCGTTCGAGTGTTATGTGGCCGGCCATGAAGACGTCGACCCAGATGGATATGTAGGGAACGTGTAGACAGTCTAGAGAGGTAAAGTTCGTATCTGTTTGAAATGGGTCAGATGAGGTTCGGAGGGTTTGTAGGTGCTCACATCCAAGGCACGTAGAATGGATGCAGAGTTTCTGCAATGACTTCGGTGGTAATGAGCAGACGATCATGCTGACGCTGTCTAAACCGAGGTCCAAGAGGCATAGCTGGTCGATGCGGGAGAAGATGGATATTCCGGAGCAGTTGGGGCAGAAGATGTTCTGCTCCTTCATATCTGTGCGAAGGTTCAACGTGCGCAGTGATGGACCCTGGATTGTAGAAGTGGCTTGAGCGAAGGGAGGTTCCTGGATGTAGACGTCGTTCAAAGAGACGTATTGGAGCCTCAGGGGGAGGCAGCGTACGAAATCGAAAAAGTTGTTGTAGTCGTACAACATTGATGTCGCGGGTGGGAGGGTCGGGGGTTTTCCCATGTGGAGCATTGTCAGTGGGTAGGTCGACAGTAGGGCTTCGCACCGTCACCGTATAATACCGTTGTACGGGTGCCGTCGTACGGGTACCGTAACCGTACCGTCGAGGGCCGTGTGTACGGTATGTAGCCCTGAATCGCTGGGGAGTAAAATTTAGCTATCCCTCGGGGCTCAGAAGCTAAGTATGAAGTAATACCTTTCATTACCATTTATTTCCAGGCCATTGCAGACTAATTTAGAGGTGTTCTTGCGTACTTGGGACTGATGACGCAACTGTACACCTGTTAGGGGTATTTCTTTATAGTGAGAACCGGTTCTCCAACGAGGGTGACGATGTTGAGGTGTATCAGAAAATAAGCTAGGTATGCTTTAATGACTACATGGTATAGTCTTATGCTAGTCTGACCTACCAAGCCCAGCTCCTTACATACGGCCGTACACACGGCCGTGACGGACGTACTCATACGGCCGGTACGCCGTCGACGGATTGGAGCTGATGGCCGTATACCGTATACGGTACAGTGCGAAGCCCTAGTCGACAGAACCTGGGCGTCTTTGATAAATCGGTGAAGTTCTTTGGAGCCCGTTTGTAAGTGTATGTGGTTCACGTCTTGCAGGAGTGGGAGGATGATATTCATCTGTGGATCAAATGGGTATATATGTAGGGACTTGACGAGCGGAGGGATCGAAATGTCTTCGGTGAATATTTGGGTGATTAACTTCCGCTTCGAGTCTGGGAATCGATATAGAACAAATACTCTGAAAATGTGGTATCGGGCCCTGTCTCGGAAGGAGCGGGATATGAGGAGGAATTTTGCTAGGGTTAGATGGTCGTCTTGGAATTCGTCGACGAAGCGGTCGATGAGCTCCTGCGGAAGGCTGAATTCTTTGACCATGATGGTGCTAGATAATAGATTACTCTGTAAGTTTCCAGTATTCTTTGCGAAATAAATCATTACCTGAGCTGATTCAAGTTTTTTGCAAGGTCAAAGTGCTGTTTGTGGCAGATGGAGGAGATAAGAAGAGATCGAGCAGAGGTTCGGCTAAATATTACATTTTCAGACTCAGTGCACTGTTGCAATTTGAGCAATGAGCATTATAAAATACTTCTTCAAGGAGACTTTGATGAGATATAATACTGCAGAACGCTAATGGTAGTACAGCATTAACGGTTGTATATGACTTGGAAGTTTCGAGGTAAGTAGACGAACAGTTTGTATAGCACAAGGCTCGGAAACAGGTCGGATACAGGTGAGCTAACGCGCAGAAAAAGGCAAGGTATAAGAAAGACATCCCGTTGGACGGAATGGGGACAAACGTTCATCAGGAGGAGGAGGAAGAGGGGAGAATCTGAGGTTGTAACCCTAACCTGAAGAGATGATCCGGAATGTCTTGCACATGATGAACGCGCTTCGATTGCGGCTGATTGCGGTCCGTGGGGGGCTGATAGGCTTTCCTTCCCACGACAACGACGAGACCGACATCGTAGCATTGCTGCTTTCTCGCATTCTCTCTCTTTGCTCTGGCTTCGTTTACGCATCTTTGAGTCTCCTGTTGATTGCAATACCTTTTCCTGTCGCGAAAAATCGTTGTGGCGCAGTCATCCTTGGTACACAGCTGCAATAATTGCGTCTAATAAGGACACTGTGAGTCTGTTTAGGTTATTTTAGAGAATTAGAGGCATTAACGAGCGCATATATTCAGATTTCTCGCGTTGGAGGCAATTTTGGAAGTGAGCCCTTGCCTCCACTTGACGTACCTGCATCTCACTGTCGCAGTACCCTCCCAGGGTACTGGCTATCTAGTCATTTCTCCACTCGATTTTTACTTGTGGGACTGATCTGGTCTTTTGTGTGTATTTTTCCGTGGATGTTCTGGGCGCTGGCAGGTGCAATGGCTGTAGTAAGGCGTTTGGACAACGATATGTATGTTCTGTCCTTTACCTCATCTATGTTCACTGAAAGATGTACCAGGTCCTGATTTATGAGCGAGACCGTATGGCCCATCGGCGACTATGCACCTCTCCGGTTCTTCAATGAGACGTCGCCTTAACGCCCACTGGAAACGAGGATTTTTGTTAATCGATGGATCCGTGGTCTTCCTCCATAAGTAATTATTGGTGCGTCACCCTCTGGCCTTCGCTTTTTCGTTGTTCTAATATACAGCTTCAGCGACGGCTGGTAGTAGCGCGGCATTAATGAGAATTGGCACCTTCGAATGTTCCTCCGAGGGTTGCTTCATCATGATCGCTATCATTCGGGGGTCTCCTCTTTCATAAGCCAATGTAGCTGGCTCTTCCAGCAACCCCAACGGATCTAAGTACAAGAAGTCCAGCTCGACTGATGTCGATGCCCCCAAAGGTATGTTGATTGAAGCCCCGCTCCAGCTTGATTTTGATTGTCCTTGATACCAGGAAGAACGTAGAAACTGGTCAGAAGGCGCGGCCTTCGCGGTTGACATCATAGATCTTGGGGGTGGCGTATGCTTCGTTGGCGGTTCTCAATGTCATATCGATGTAAGCCTCGTTCTAATCTACCTCTCCTCCGTTATGGCGGACTGACTTACATTCATCATGATTTAGTTCCCCAACTCCGTATGGTTTTGCCGGTCGTACTGTTATCGCTTGTTTTATGGACAGGTACGTTCTATATCATTCGCACCATGTTCCTCGCCAACTTTGCCCCAGTCCCTGGATCCTGTAGGCTCCACTACGTGAGAATATAGGGTTAGTGTCGGAGCATGTATGCACTTCTTATTCAGCTTTGTCATTTATCTCTGACCGACTGTCTTTGCCTGTTATTTTAGTCTCTGCAGGAGTTAGGTTTATTCTTAGTAGGTGATTTATGCTCTAGCATTGTTCTGGCCCTAACTCGCGCTCACTAGGACGGCGAACTCCACCCTGATCCGCCTTGTCTGGAAAGAGTGTCTCATGGAATCTCATGCTCAATATTAGGCGTCGTGGGAGATACTCTGGACTCTGTTTGCGGACTAGAGTGTCTTATCTACACAAGACGTGGAGTTGTGATACCGACGTTTCTTTGTGCACTCACTGGCCTAGCTACTCGTGCGTCGTAAAAGACTGTTAATTATAGCATGATGTTCGAGGACTACCCTTCGCTATGTCAAATAGCCCGAGCCATCCAGAATGGCGCAGGCTTCTTATCTTCCGTGGCTCCCCTAACATACCTAGTGCTATTTTTAGTACTCACGCTAAATTCAAGATATGCACCGCATGGTCGTTTCCCCGTTAGCGGGCCATCTCGCGCTGTTATCCCGGGACGAGTTGACATGTATAGTATATTCCGAAAACGAGATTGGGCTTGGCTGAGAGAACGCCTGCGAAATCTGACACGCCCAGTTGGTTGCTCACCTTCGAACCTGAATAGGCCTGCCTATTCCCTCTTGATCTCTTTATCGTTTGATTGATATATCATTCCGTGTTCGTTCTGGACTGTTTACGCCAGTGAAGCCTGTCAACTGCCCAAGCATCTCACCCCCAACATCAAAATTGACCTGGATTCCGAACAGTCCTTGGCGGCGCCTTGGCATCTATCATGGTGTGGAAGCGTCATCTATGAGGAATGCCGTGCCACAATCGTATCTCCCATCGCCATTCGCACTTGTGGCCGTGAACATCTTAACGCTGCTAGTCCTGTACGTATTCAAACATGACAGCAGCACATGGAAGGGTTGATCACCCGTGAAGTATATTACATATTGGTGGGTGACAGTCAAAATTGCTTGACCTTGTGGTTAATGTGGCACGTCAGGTCTCATGTCCTGAAGAAGGAAAGATATGGCAGGAGAGTACCATTTGGGCAAGCTATCTGGTCCATCGCATCCACGATCATGTGTACGTTCCATTCTCCCATGCGCCTTGATCGCATTCACATGTGTTTCTACCGCAGAAAACACCTCGCCACGCAATAAAGATGGAAGAACACACTACCTCTCTGCTTGGAACGTCTGAAACCAAGCGGAAGGAAATTTACAGGCACATGCTAGAGAGAAGCAACATGGCGGACTTCTTCCTGCCCATATGCTCGCGTCGGTACGATAATACCCAGGTCCAGTCAACGTTCGGCGTGAGTTACCGATTCCAAATCCGGTGTGCCCGTTTCCCTTATCGTTTCAATAGCATATGGACCTATTCTTCCATCTGGGTACAAAAATGGTCTGTATTCTAACGGCCTTCTCCCAGGCATCCTTACCCTCCCCATCATGGCTGAAAAGCACGATAGCGTGTCGTCCCGCGATGCGGAGAAAGCTGTTGCGTCTGACATTGAGGCTCTCGAAGCTATCGCTCTCCCCGACTTTTTGATGACTCTGCCTCATGTGGTGTTCCCGCACGCATCAGTCTGAGTCTCTCATGCGTGCTTTCTGGTAAGGCAGGATCGGTAATCGGAGGCTGCTATCAATCAGACGTACTGGCAGGCAAGGCCAAGTGCGGGGTTACATACCTAGGTGCTCTACCGCTCTATCTCTCCACAGAAATGGGCCGATAACAAGCCGAATCGACGATGATCGCGGACTTCACACCCCAACCAACCTAAGTGCTCCCTCCCTCCTTGTCTCCGGCGATCAAAGGTCCAGCCTAGAGGACAAAATTGTGGAGTGTGCGAGACGGGTGCAGTCAGGGATCACAAGGATTATCGGCGTCAAGTCTGATTCTTATCGTCCAGTTCTGTGATGGGAGTTAAGAAGGAAGTTCGTGAGAGTGACGTAACAACTTGTCACCTCAACAGTTAACGCACGTCCCGCATGAGTTCGATCCTGGGTGAGAGACTATAGCCTTATAGACGAGTCATAGATAAACACGTTTTTTTTGGACATCCAGTCGGTGTGGAAGGTACACCGTCTACGTCAGGGTGGGTTAGATTCCTAGCAAGACCATTAAAGAGGCATAGTCCGGTATCATTATTTGTGTAATTCAACGTGGGTTCTATAAACGTTTGGTACTGTAAGATATCGTGCGTTCCTCGTATAGTGACCATATGTGCTCCTAGCAAGATATTAAAACTGCGGCCTTGCTCTTGAATTTAAATTTCGATAACGATTCTATTTCTTGGGCATACCAGTGTTGAGCAAAGAGGAAATTGATCTAATTCCAGATGAGACAGATGCTCCCAATCGTTCGATGTGTCTTTCTTTCTTGGCACGAAACACTACCGTGTTACGAATTCTGGTAATCCTTCCGTAGGGCATTAGCTATCTCATGGCATGCCGCACACATCGGGTTCAAATCCCAAACCTTTTTAGGTGTCAGAAAATAGATGTGTCTTATCTGTCAGAGGAACGTACAAAATTTCCAGCGAGCGAATTATCCAGGAGCTCCGGTCGTCTGATGCATCATATTACAGGAAAGAGGGAATTGGCGGGAAGAATTTGTGTATCGAAGTTTTGGGACAAGCATTTAATCAGCAGCGGGGACGAAAGCTGTTAGACCGACTCAAGGGATGCAAGCAGTTAATTGTACAAAGTTAGTGCTCTTGTGAAATCGAGGGAAGATTAGTTACACGATCGGTGAGCTCATTTCATAACAAAGGTATATTGCACACTTGTGGTCAAAGAATTTATTCCTTCAAGACGTGTATGTGCTTGAGGGCAGATTCAGACTTGATGCACAGGAAGTCGTCCCGTGTGTTCATGTAACAGCAAAAAATCGAAACAAAGGAGGGTCTTGCAGTGATATAAGCATCCGAGAGAGCAAGACCGTAGCTCAAGGAAGTACAGCAGATGCGCAATGTTGAGTCTCAGTAATGGCAGAAGAGAAAAGTGGCCCGACGCGTCTGTTTGAAATTGATCCGGTTTTCGTCCACGTGTCTTGACTCTTGGCCACAACTGCCACGATTCCAGCTTCTAATCCCGACGAGTTTTCACTCGCTGCTCTGTACTATGAGTTGATGTCCTACCCCTGCATAATCTGTGTCGAACTCAATACATTTTCTGAGTGTCCATCTGAAGCTTGTTTTGTCGTCGGACCCATCATATTTTTCTGGTTCCTGTCCCATCATTCATGAAAGAATAAGCGGACTCCAGACTACAGATCCAAAGTTCAGTGTCTTTACTACTGATCGACTTCTTTGAGGTTCTCTTGTTGGGCGATTTGGGGGCGGCAGTTCCTTAGTCGATTTCTAGGCTATTAGGTATGATATCTTGATCGCCATTAAGAAATCCTACTCAGCGGTCGCGAAAAATATGGGAGAATACCCGATTGGAATCTTCAACCTACCGCCTGCCGCCCCCTTTCACCCTACTCTCCTACCATCTTGCATGTCGTCTCCCACCCTCTCAGTCGCTCAAGGCATACGCCCTCCGAGTCGTAGACGATGAATTTGACGGAGATGATTTCGTCCTTAACTAGGATACCAAGGTCGTGTAACTGAGATCATTCAGCCTGAGAAATGCTACTGCGTACTGTATCGTTGAGTGTGTCGTCAACGCCGCACACTGGGAGGATTAGACGTGATGTATTGTCGCAACGCTGTGGTGAACCGTTCTTGCGAAAGTTGGTGGCTAATTGTACGCTCAGGACTGCTAAATGGCGACTGTGTTTTGTGCTCATTCGTATTTGAAAGACAGGGTAAAAGGATGGGGATACTCTTCCTATCAACGGCCCTCGTCTGCTGGGAAGCAAGGTAGGCTACTCAAGTTATTTTATACCGGTACCGATGGTGCAATAGGTCTACGCTCCATGGGGGGACCAGGTCAGCGATTCATGAAGGTCATAGGTTTCATTGACCGTTCGTCCGCGTGTGGTACTGTCCTCGTTTCATGTCGACCTAGGAGGGTTCAGAATCGAACGGTACGAGTTCTGGGATCCTACAAGCGCTTTCTGACCCTAAGATTTATGCACTGAAATTGTTAAGGATTAGGGTAATTTGAGCTAATACACGAAGTAATGAATACTTGAGTAAAACCCAAGCTGTGAGCGAGGATGTCTGAAAGCCGAGTTCACGCAATTAAGTGGACTTTGAAGATGAGTAAAATTAGCTTAAGATTCTAATACAATGGCAAGTACAATACTTATATACCACTAGTAAGGAATTGAGTCATTATTATTCTAGTATTGGCAAGAAGAAGAGAGAAAGTAAGAGAAAGTAAGAGAAAATGAGAGAAAATACCAGTAAGCCGAGGTCAAGGCCGAGAGTAGGCATGTGTTGACTCATGTACAGACCAGAAAAGACATGAAATCCATGACAGAGATGGGTAATGCTCGATATCCTAAATAGAGAGGCCACTATGGTCCACTTCGCTGTGATATCGTCGCAGGGTTGATGTCTTATTTAGCATCTAAAGAAGCGCATTATATAATTGGTCCTCTTTGTGCAGATAATATTTGATATTGACATGTCGGTCTTGTGGGCAAACGGTGCTATCTCCACGTTAATTGTTCATCTGTTAGGTGATAATCAACGGAGGGTGGTATTTTGACTAACTTTTAACCTTGTCGACACAATTATTTGAAGTATTGTTCTTGCCTGCATTCTCGTGACCCGACCTTCGTACATTGGTAGATGAGTATACCAAATTCCATTCACGGATGAAGGCTATGTTGCGCGGAGACAATAACCTTTTTCTTATGCCATGCCATCCATTCATTCTTCCCGACCCAGTTGATACGCGCTTACTCTCATCTCTCCTTGCATGAACCACGTCTCACTCCCTTGCATCTACATTCTTGTTGGAACTTGCGATTGTTGTACTTACATTGGGGAATGTTCCGGAAGAGCCTGAATCAAGCTTGTCACAGGAATGTCGGCTCGATCTTGATGTAGTTTGAGTTATATCATCTGCAAGCGCGCTTTCAGGGCAGAGTGCACAATCGGATGCAACCCTCAACGAAAGACTTAAATTCCCATTGTTTATATGTCGTCTTTCCAACAGTGCAGTGGATACACTGTCAGGATGAGTTCGACTCTCAGCCAGAGCCATATGAGAGGATAACAACTCTTTGTACCTTTTTTATAAGTGGGGATAATGAACTATTGGTATCTCGAGATACTGTACCATTAACTCTCTGGGTCACGACTAGTTGCTTGTAGCTATACGTACTAGCTTCGGCGCTTAACGAGATATTAGTCCTGTGCCCTTGTAGAATGATTTAAATTTGACGATGACTAGCCTGGCTCTATTCGTGGGTATGCCATTCCCCAGAGAGGGCATAAATTCAAACCCAGATGAAATGTTCCAAAAGATTTGATGGTGTCTCTTTCACGGTAAGAAAGACTACCGTGCAGAAAATTCAGTAAACCTTCCGCAGTATATCGATTGTCCCTGACACACACACCGTGTTCGAATCCCACCAGGAGCACGCTGGCACTAAGAAGTGGGCACGTATAATTTTGTGAGCGGGCTTGCGAGCGTGACAAAGAACTGTCTCGCGATTTCTTGTCTGAAAATAGTGCGAGGAGTTAGCCGCTGAAACGCAGTCGAATCAGCCCTCATTTCTGTAACCAGCATACTCACATTCCGTCGACAGGTAGTCCTTCCTCGTAGCCCTTGCACCATTGTCTATAAAGCTGCAGAAATTATATTCTGGCCAAGATGCAGTTCCCATGAGACTTACAATTCTGCGGAATCCTGCAGGTGTATCCCACGTGAGCGCAAGACGTCTTGTACCGCAGGGTCAGTCCACAAAGGTGAGGGATATCATTTAAGGAAGCTTCCAGATCCTGCGTTGGGGATTTTGGGGCTTATACATCGAGGGCAGTGGAGGTTGTCCGCTAAGCACGGATTTCCAACCACCTGACTCTTATGGGGACGTCTCGTTCATTGGGGTACGGGAAGAGGATCTCATTGAAAGCAGTCTCGTATATGAAAAGTAGCGAGAAGGATCCACACTACATCTAAGAGGGAAGGAGGAAAAGGGCAACGCTAAGTAACGAGGGAGAAGTCAGTAGTACATAGCGGGTGAAGATGTAGTAGCACCTAAATACGACTTTTGGCTAGCGAGACGAGAACGGAAGTAAATAAGGAGCGTGAAAAAACAGGGAAAGGAAGCAAAGCAAAGCAATGAAAAGGAAGCCATGCCGGCAAGAAAAACAAGAAAAGAAAGAGGAAGCACAAGAGAAAGAAGGTCAGGACGGAAGCCGATTTTTTGATGGATGATGCCAAAAATAACCACAGTGAGGAGACGTCAGGGGGCGGCAAAAGCCATGTTGGCTGATGCAAAATTCCCACGGGGGTGTCGCCAGAACCGCATAATGACCGATATCTTATATTCATAGGACTCGGAACAAGCAATTCGTACCACAAGAGTTTGACAACTGAACTTTCAAGCTAAGTAAGAAGGCATAAGAACTTCATTAAAAAAACCTAAACAGTAGCATACCTGGCTCTCCTGTCGTTGATCCATATACTCAAAGACGGTCCCGCCTCAGTTAGCTTATCCTCATATTAGACAACGCCTGAAAGTCTTCAAGTTAGCAATCGGGACAGTAACGGCTGCAGTTACCTTGTTCTGCTGACGAAGAACTGTCCTCTTGAAGCAAAACTTAGTGAAGCTAGCAATACAGTGCAGTACTCACTGACCCTCGCTCGCCGGACGTCGATACTTCGTCTCAGATAGTCAATAAACTTCATTTTCTGCAATAATTGAGCGAAAGAATAAGTGTCAACTCATTTGAGCAAGGCATGAAGGAATTCAAACTCACTTTCAGATCTCTACCGAATCCTGACATGGAATTCGGTACATCCCAAAATCCGTTTACCTCCCTCAAAACACACTCAGCCATCTCACATTAAATAGTATCCACCTACGCCACGCATGAGGCCTCCCAAGAAGAAGAGAAGGTTCCAAGAAATCAAACACGGCCGTGAAATTAGACCCCTGCAATGTTTCGATTGCGATAGAAGGGCGGAACAGAAGAACTGGTAACTGACATCAATGGGTGTTGAATGTTCCCGGGCTCTGGAGTTAGATTCTCGAGAACAGGGACCTAGAATGTCAAGTACGTGTTAGAAGGTGGAAACGCAAATACGAATTTACACGTTTGACTTACCCGAGTACGCGCGACATTGGCTCCCGAGTGACAAGTACCGCACAAAGTCCCAGTCTTCCAAATTTACGAACTTTGGAGGATGTTCTCAGTATCTTCAAAGCAAAGTATGAACACAAGGTGGCGGGCGGGGAGGTCATGCATCCGAGTCAAGGTTGATGGAGGGGAGTATTATAGGGAGTGAGGAGAGAGGAGGAGAGGGGGGGGGGAAGGAAGATGGTGGGAGGAAATGGGAAGTGCTCCAAAGCTGGAAGTTAAATGTCGTTCGCTCCAGCTTTTATACCAATAACTCTGTCCAAGTCAGAATCAGTAGTCAGTAATCGAGAACATGTCAGGGATCGGAATAATAGAACCCACGAAGACCCCCAAACTATTTCCTCTTCAACGTCGCATTGTAGACCTGTACCATATCGGAAGGATTCTTGGATTCAAAATCGACGGCTCCCTTAAATACATGTAGGGGCCTCCCAAACAATAAGATTCGCGATAGGAGTCTTCACCCCCTGTACCTGTGTAGCCAATCAGAATGATGAAATGAACAACAGAGGAAGACATACCATAAAACACAACAACATCGGCGAAGACTTAGGGTCTCAGATGAAGGCGAAAAGGAAAGAAGAAAAAGCGTGAGAATATGATGACCGCGCCCATATGAATCCCCCCAAATTTCGTTTTCTCCGCCGTCCGCGGATTTAACCAAGTCGGGCCGGTACCCGTATGATAAAATAATATTTCTACTAAGTTACAGGGTATGGTGTTACAATCGGTATATTACAGTATAAATTGATCCGTGTCAATGACGAGGCGCCTCCTCTCGTAGCTTTCGGCTGAACAGCATGTTGGTTTCCCTGGAAGACTCGCTTTCTTCCTCCAGGCATAGATCTGTGGATTCTAGGTGCAGTTCCTCTCCTGTCTGCTCATCTACCTGGCCCTCCGCAGGAGCGACTACGGCTACTGTCCACCAAATCGGCATTTTCGGCGTTGCCCCTTTCTCATAGCGAATGGAGCGGACATATTTGCCAGTGTGCCGACCCTTGATCACAACCCAACGTTCATAATTCCGGGGAGTGGCAGGATGGATCGCTTCAACCAGCTCCGGAGGGACTGCCTCTATTTTCTTCTTGCCTTTGCGAATGTAGCATTCAACGGGTGCGTGTTTGGCGCCTTGCCGGAATATGAGAGTCTTGGCTTTGCCGTTGAGCTTGATACGCAATTCACGGCCTAGCAGTCTCCCGTCTGTAGCCCAATGGCCGTGGTGCTCGTAAGAAAGCGGATTGAAACCAGATGTCGAGATGGATGAGCCGTCAGGGAGAGGAGGTGTCTTGGAACGGGGATCCCAGGCTGGATCCAGGTTAGGAGGCGGTGTCGTCGCCCTGTTTCTGATGAAATCGCCCGGCAGGGTTCGGGTCATGTGTTCCATGCGCTCTTCATAGCGTGATTGAATGAAAGACAGTCGAGGAAGAAAAGCATTTTGCGAGAGCAAAAGCGGCTTATACAATCTCAAAGGACGCTTCGTTCTGAGGGGGCCTTAGATTATTCAATAGTTGAAGACGATACCACTCACTCGACCTCCAGAACATGCTCATAGTCCACGGTATGCTCTTTATTTGTCGTCGCGGGGTCATAGGTATCCAGCACAATGACAAGACGTAGTCCGCTTGCATTGTCCTGGCCGCAAATGACATCCCTGACTGTGCCGATCTTGGATCTGAGGCGATGCCCTGTGTGGAAGATTCCAACCTGTACTCCAATCCAAGGTGTTTGGCCGGAGCTTCGCATAGGACCTTGGATCTGTTCCAGGGCATTGGAAGTTTCACCAATGTCGAGTTGTTCACCTCGTCTACAAAAGAGTATCAGCACCGTGCTGATGCGAAAGAAAGGCCCATATACCCTTCAATTGTCAGGTCTTCAGGACGAAACATGCGTGCAATGTCAGGCTCATCGTCCAGTATAACGACAGCCATTGGACGTCCCTCCTCGTTGATTACATCTGCAACCGAACCCGCCTTTCCCCTAAGGACAAGGCCGTAAGCGCCCACAACGACGCGTCTCCCAATCCAGCCAACATGTGGTACAATTTTTGGCTTCGCAATATATTCACTGTAATCGTGAGGACGTGAACATTGACGTGACACTGAGTTCCTAGGGCGTTCGAACTCCTGGAAGACAGGTTCAGTGAAGTGTCAGCTAGAGCAATAAGATCATACCGACCTCAATCTCCCCGTTGGGGCCTTTGGCCAGTGCCACTATATGAAATTCACCTACCACCTGGACCAGTCCTTCGCGATCCGATTCCAAGCACAGGACCAAATCTCCGACAGATATCCTCTTGATTATGCGGCTGAAGGGAATGTGGTGTATACCAGCACCATTGTCCAGGCTGACCTCTACACCGGTAGCGCTAATGCTGCACACTACACCTGTCCTATTTCCTGAGATCTCCACATCGTCTCCGACCTGAAAATGCCATTCCATTGGACATGGCGCTCGTAATTCGGCCTGCAGCACAATCGAATGTTGGCTTTGGACAAATAAGCCCAGAATTGACGCGGAAATCGTACTCGCAGTCACCAGAGACTGAATTTCACACTGCAAGATGAGCAAACCACGGTCGTATTCACTATTTTGACGTTTCTGGGTTTTCGTAATTGGGCATATTTGCCTCATCGTTCCTAGCCGGTGTAGCGTTCGGTTGGAATCCCAGAGAGAATGCGAACTGTGCTGTCTTTTTTCTCGCTGAGGGCAGCGCCGGTGTTCGGGGGCATAGAAACGAGGAATGACCAGGACTTCTGCACCCCAATCATAGATCTCGCGCACACATGCCACATCATTGCGATATGGGCCTCTCGTAACCCTAACCCAATCGCCTTTTTGAGGGTTAGGCTTGCCCTTTTGCATAGTCCGAATGGGGCCCGAATCCTCGACGGGAACTTCTTCCAAAATTGGCTGGCCATTGGCGGTAGCGACGGCACAAGAAGAGGAAAGTAGTTGGCGGAGAGCAGAGTTCACGTATTGACAGTCCAGATACACCCATTGAGGGATTGCAGGAAGGGCAAAAGCGGTGATGAGACCATGGTCGGGCGTCTTATAATGCTTGAGCCGAGATACCAGATGATCTTGAGTATGTTTCTGAAATTATGCTCAGCAGTAGTTCACAGGCAAATGGGAAATGACGCACCTTGATGCGAACTCTCCATAATGGACCGGAAGCGCCTACCACCCAAAGTGAATCCACAGAGTCGAGGCCACCCACAGCCAAGTCGCTCTCAACCCGCCGACGCTTCCTAGCACGTTCTATTACTGCAGACGCGTATTCCTCCAATTGTTCAGGGGTAGGATCTTCGCTTCGATGGCTGGAAGTTGGCATTGAGGTCATTTCGGTGGTATCATTCGTGTCGTCGATGAAATCTGGAGAACGTCAAAACCAAAATGGTGAAGGCTACAAACCAGCTGTCAAACCATCGATGTCGGTGTCCTCTTCTTCATCGTCGGAGATGGAGTTATTGTCTTCGAGCGCTTCCAAATCGATGAAACCACAGTGACTATAGCGCTACAATTGATATTCAACACGCGGAAAGTATGCAAGATATTGATATATACTCACCTCGGAGCCATTCCTAAAAGTCATCATACTATCAGCAATGACTACGCTCTTAAAGATCACGCTTGTTGTATGGTATAAGCAATTGGATTTCGTTGTACTACTGTCTTAGCGTGAGCAACGACAATCACCGAGAGGTAAGGTGGTGATAGTTGGTGAGCAAGCAGGAAAGCGTGGGAAAACGAAGACGTGCGGCTGATATCGGTCCACGATTTTGCTGTCGTCCGAACATCTTCGGGTTTTCGGACGATAACGTTTTTGGGGCCCGATGACCTACGTGGAAGATATTTCCCATGCCTCCTTTCTCTCTCTTTCTCTCCACCATGTGCTACGCCCTAGGCGACCAGTTATGACCCTGTTATGACCTTGGTTCCTGCTGGTTGGCCACAGGTTTGTGCATCATCTTATTCTTTTCATTGTCGAAAAGTAGTATGACAGGAATCGTGTCGTTTGCGGCCACCTTTTTTTGTGTCCGGAAGATCTTTGACATGACAACCCGAGGTCACGTAGTGCTTTGACCATGGGATGTCGTGCCCTGCCCCGCCTCCGAATTGTTTTGGAAGACTGGCCCTTTGACCCATCGTAGTCATCATTGGGTAGGTCAAGCCTTGCGCCTATAAAGTCCTTCTCTGACCCAGACGATCCAGATTACCATTACTCCATGCCTTACTTTCCTCCCAAACGCTACGTCGAAACTATATACGCATTCCACGTCCGACTGGCCATGGACGATCTGCCACTCACTGCGGCGGAGTATAACGACCGAATGCAGTGCAAGCAGAAAGGATTCCACCGTCATACCACCGTGATGAGCGGGCCTAATATTGGCAAGCAGTGGATTTATGTAGGTTTATCTGTTCTCTGAGTCTAGTTGTGGTACTGATGGTCTCAACCAAGTGTAACGACGGCTGCCATCCTTTCACTCTGCTGCAAGCTAGCGCCGACAAGCAAATCGAACTTGCCAGGATTGTCGCTGAAGATAAAGAAGCCTCGCCGCGCTCAGTCTCTGCACTATCAACATTGGTCAAGAAGCGAAAAGTGCAGTGTGGCAAGGCCTCGAAGAGATTAGCCGCAGCCATCAATAATATGCTTGATGTCGAACGTACGTATACTTCCTTTTGCGATGATACGTATTAGCTGACTTTGGTTCGCAGACGCCAGCCAAAGTGTCGTCTCACGGTCCAAGGAACGAGTTTGGAAGGCCGATGAACATTCGGATATTGTCAGGGCCCTCCATGACAATGCAGTAGTTGCTTTGCGTGTTGCCCAAGAGGCTTGGCAGCGCTTGGAGGAACTTCAGCACTGCACTAGTAAGTACCTTATTTCTTCGTTGGCACTAAGAAATTGAATCTGTGAAGGCGATAGGGCGCTCCGCCAATACCTTGTTCGTAACGGTCTTGCCACAGAACTGCGAGGTAGCCAGCGTCGCCTTTATGTTAGCGCCATGACGAAGGAGACGGGTGTGATGGGTGCTCTCGTCGGGGAGCCTGTATCTGCTCGCGTAACGAGAACAAGCGCACGGTGCGCAGCTGGTGAGTAACTCCAATTTCAGCGGGGCACGAGTTTCTGACAGATTTCATAAGGTTCACAAGACGGCGCTGCTACTGCAGTCACTGAGACGCCTAGGAGGGTTCAACCTGCGCAGTTGGTAACACCACCCACCACGGTCACCAGGAAGGGAAGAAAACGGAATGCTTCAGATATCGTGCGATCTGAGATGATTGATGGGGTGGAGATAGTTTACGCTCGCATTAACGGTGTGCAGACTGTTGGCGAACCCCGCGAGTCTTCTCCCGAGGGAGAAGCCACACCCTCTAAGCGTGCTAGGCTTCGATAGCGTTGTGTACTCAATAATTTTTCTGTATACTGTTGTATCTCCATCTTTATTGCAAGTGCGACGTTTTTTGGAATATTAAATAAGTAAATAAATAAAGTCTCAAGCTAGCCAAAGTGGGTCATTTCCGCCTGCAGCATACCTTGACATTAATCAGACAACATAGGACCCCTTTCGTCTCCCTTGCCATGCCTCCTAGAAGACGAGGCCGAGCCCTACCAAAAAATGCAAACGTCAGTGTGCAATCTTATGTATCGACTCAGCCTTCGATGCACCAATCCTTCTCAGGGGGGGACCGGGGTCGAGCACTTTAGCGAAGCCGTGGTTGGTGCAGACAGGAGCCGAATCACAGCCCACGACCTCGAGCAGCAGTAACAAACGCACGCAGGAGCCGTCACCTGTGGACCTTGAAATTGAGGGAGACGATGATGTTCCCCGCCTCCATGAAGTACACGATGATGGCCAAGATGGGAATGAGGCTACCAAGAGCAAGCGACAGAGAACCTTTGAACAAGTGAGTAATCCAAACTCGTAGTCTTTGGATCTAAGTTTTTTTTCTTAGGGAGTATCAGCGATAATGCGGGAATTCCAGCCAGAGTTCGACCGTATTGTGGAGTACATGCTTGCCAGTGAGAGCGATAGCAGCATCGGCAGTCCATGTGCCTGTAAACGGGATGATGCCGTGCGGTTGTACCTGTGCCACGACTGCCAACACTACGAACCATCCTGCCGCCAGTGTTTCCTGGACTTCCATGGTGGGCGGAATCCATGGCATTGGGCTGAAGAGTGGAATGGTACTCATTTTCTACGGCGGGACATTTCCAATCTGGGGCACATTGTGACCATTGGCCATGATCGCCATTCCTCACTCCACTGCGAGTACGCATTAGAGTATCAACCCATCGACTTTACTGTCGTGCACACTAACAGGGTTCATCAAACCCGGGTTGTTTTCTGTCAATGTGTCGGGCAAGCCGGGGATCGTTTTCAGAACCTGTTGGAAAGTCGAATCTTCCCAGCCACTAGGAATCAACCGAGGACGGGCTTTACATTCGCAGTGCTACGGGATTTCCATCTACACACCCTGACGTCCAAAAAATCGTCGTATGACTATATAGAGGCTGTGAAACGCCAAGGCAACAATGTGTTTCCCCAGGATTGTCCAGTACGTCAGAATCTGCCACAGATAGACGCTTGGAACCTAATCATCTAACTAGGATGTGTACCGGCAATTCGTGCGTGTTCAGAGGATATGGATAGCGCTTACAATGAAAAAACGAAGTGGACAAGCCCATGGAATCGACAGGCATTTCCCCCAACGCCCTCCTGGCTTTGTCGTGGTGCCATGCTTTTCTTGTCCTGAGCGAGGCTTTAACGTTCCGGACGTGATCATGGACACTGTTTCGGAAAAAATGATGTAAGTTTTTTGTGTTCGGCATGACATAGCAGGATTCATAGGCGGGCAGACATCTCGTTCAATTTACATTCATGCAAGATGGGCATTTCGGCTTGCAAAGATTCCGAAAAGTCGACGACCCTGATGATATATCAATTGTGACGGGAACAGGCCTTTTTCCGATGGACAAAGCATACAATGAGTATATCGAAAAGATCGTGGCCACTTCAGATGAGGTATGCGCCTGATTCGTAGTCTTACGCCAGGATTAACAGTAACTATTTGCAGAAGTCCACCTGTTCGCAGTTTAACGCCGTCGAGATGCAAAACAAAATGAAATTCAAAGGATGCGTGATCACCGGAGTGATTGCAGTAGAATGTGGTCGACATTGTGTCTTCATCGCCATGGTCGATTTGCACAAGGGTGAACGGTCAGTAACTATAGGTTTGATGGCATCCCTGTAGTTGATCACTCGCAGGTTCGCAAATACAGATTTTTTGTTTGGCCTTTGCGCTGACTCGTTACACGAACGAGCAAAGTATCAAGGCACCCAAATATTTTCGTCGGATCATCCTCACCTATGATATCGCATGCCAATATCATGTCAAGCTCAAGGAGCGCTTCAAGGAGTGTTTTTTGCAGATCAGCGATATCGTGGACATCATTAATTGTTTGGTACCGAAGATGCATCTTGATGGTCACATCGACAACTGCAAGTACCGTTTTTCTTTGAATTTCTTCAAGGGCGCAGGGCGAAATCACGGCGAAGGGATCGAACAGAGCTGGGTGGAGTCTAAGCAGTCTGGCGGGAGCACGCGCCAGATGAATCACGGGCACCGACATGACAAATTGAACGACTACCACAATTTCTGGAACTGGTGCAAGGTTCAGAAAATGAGTAAGCTGTTTGATTTGTAGCCGAGTATTTCTAATAGGTATGTTCCAGGTGAATCCCTGTTCAACAATATTATCAAGGGACGTGAGCAGCTCGCCAAAATCGTTGAGTATTTTCTGGGTCTATGCATCATGCGAGGCAAGGAAAATGTCAATTCGTGGAAGGAGGAGTCAACCGAGCCCAGATGGAATGAGAAGACCAAGCAATGGGAAAGTCCTTATCGTCTGAATGTGCGGAAACGTACGTGTTGCCCCTGTATGGTTGTAATAAACGGATCTCACATGTAGTCTTGTAGTTCCCACTCAAGCTGAAGTATTCACGAGTCTCCTCGAACAAGAACGCACAATAGAACAAACGGGCATGGATGCCCGTAAGAAAAACCCGGCCATCCATTGCGTAGACGTAGGGATTAAACTGCAAACAAAGCAGTAAGTGTTCAACGGTTTATATTGTCTAGATAAGACAAGCTAATATTCGGAGCAGGCGTGATCTTGCCACCGCCATCAGAAAAGGGGACATTTTGACCGAAGAAATCCGACTGGCCCGTCGCAACCTATCGGCAGAGATTCGGCGTTACCGAAAAACACAGCTCCAGCAGATGCCAGACCTCGGTGACATCATTGCTGCGAGGAAGGAAGAGGACAAGGAAGTAAAGGAGAATGTCGAAGTGGAGAACGAGTGTTTATTCCTGCCATCGGACCTGGCACATTCAGAAATGAAGATCGGTGGCCTGAAGAAGTTTGCAGACATAGAGTATAAACTCCGGGAAGGCCAAGCGAATGAGGCCATCATGATGCTCTCAAATAGCATTATCCACTGCATGCTGTTGAACGACACACGACGGCGCCACTCCCGTGGGGTTACAATGAATCTACGTTCATTGAAATATATCAATGGGATTGCCAAAAATGCAGCGGGAGCCCGAGGTTTGGGCGAGGGGTCTGTAACGGATAGCTGGATATGGACCTATGGACGGCTGAAAGGAATGTCGGATATCGAGAAGAATGACTTCCGCCAAGCAAGTACGTGATTTTTCGTGTTCTCGAGTGGAATTTAACAGTAATTTCCGCCAGCTTTCAAGGTTCAATGGTTTCGAGCACGAGCCGACATGGATCGATGGATAGAAGAGGTGGAAATATTAGAGGAAGAGTTTCGGCATTTCATTCGGGCCTGCGACAAAATGTGTCAGGTCTGGAAGGATATGTCCGAAGAGGGTCCGAAACACTATACGTCAGTTGCGGGGTATCGTGTATACGCCATGGAGAAGTCGACAATGTACAAGATGATGGGAGACAGAGCCAGAAAGGCCTTTGCCGAGTGCGGCGGCGGTTGGCCAGCCAAAGATGAAGATTTATCATCATACGTCGAAGAGCGGCGACCGACTACAGAGGTCGACTGGGAAATGGTGGAAAGTGAGAGTCGTGAGGATGAAGCAGAGAAAAGCAAGCTGATTGAAGAGGCATTTAGAAGTTTCGAGGAGGGAGTGTAAAGCACATCGGACGAAGTTAGGTCCCATTTTTAATTATCAGTATACTCACACTAACGACGGGCCGGTCGCACAGATTGGCAGCATAGCCACCGGAACTATCCGTGTGGTGGCTGTGTGGAGTGGGCGCTTGGGTAAACAGGTGGGCGTTTCTGATGTCATTGTGATATAGCTGATTAACGAGAACTATTTAGACTGTATGTACAAAATAATGGTATGAATATAATACAAGATGGATGCCTAGACTTGTTATTACCAAGAAATATTGAGATTGTGCTGTGCCTGGCCGATATAGCCACGACTAGTGATTCAATGGTGAGTGGATAACAATGACAATGCTTGAGAGAAATAGTATTTACCTTGATCTCAGACAACGAAATGATATTCTACCCTGAACGCTCCGACCGACAGCTGAACGTCCCCGCCGACGATGTTCACATCACCATTGTCTAGAACAGTGAGCTCGAGGACGACAGATACGTGCTGCCCGAAATCGTATCCCAGGGAGACGCTGAGGTTTCCCCTCGAGAGAACGACCTCTACCCTCAACATGGAACCATCCGGGTCGATGAAGCCGACGACGGTGACCCGGCTGCCCAAGCGTGCGAAGGTAACACGCTGTGGGATGGATTCCTCGGTGTCTCGTGTCAAAGTAGTCGGTGAGGCCGGTTGCGCGTCAGAAGGGACTGACGAGGGATTGTCGCTGTGCCGACGGTTTGAGGCAAACCGAAGTGAAAGTGAAAGATCCAACACATACAGCATGACTTGCTGGGTCGAGCGAATTACTTGGTGTTCGTCAGTGGAGTTACTCATGTTTCTAGGAGACCGTGAGTTCAAGATATGACGAAAAAATCGGGCACATACCTGGCGAAGAGAGTCAATCGTCTGCAAGGACGATGGTGGACGATGATGGAAGCGACGAAAGGTACGGGCGTGGGAGTCGTATGCCGCCGGCACGTGGGGTCGTCGCAGGCTAAGCTTATTGGAAGCTCTTTTGGCGGGGAGGTCCTTGTACCTCCCACAGAGACATCTCTTTCGTAAGTCTGTTCAGACCTATAATGCACAAAATTAATTAATGAATTGACTTGATGGGCGTGGAACTAGAGACAGTCCAGGCACGGTCCACGTGGTGGCGGTGCAACCCCTGTTCTTAATTGAAAAGCCACCGACACGTAGGGGCTTTGTCTTGACCACAACCTCCTACCTTCGTTGGCCACCTCTACCACTACTAAGCGACGAGCGACAAGGAGTCGCTCGTCATATCCTCTACTGTCTGCAACTCAAGAGATGTCTACCCCTTCGAAGTCATCTCTCGATGAGGCCGCCCTCGTTCTATTCATTGTTGCCACATCTTGGCTTGGTGGCACAAGGAAGGGCGCGATTGTAGATTAGGTGAGCGGCTGTTACAGGCCTCTTTTAGAGGTATTATGTGATTGGCAGTGATCACGGCGGTCGGACGTTGCTGCTTGCGCCCAAGCGAACTCAATTTACCCGCGGCGGTGGTTGCGTCGGACCGTATTGCAAGCCGAAAACGAGATGTTGCAACGGACGGGTAGTGTTGCAACAAGAAGCAGGTATGGGATTGAAGGTTTTCTCTCTCTAAGTTACATACAATAAATTTCGCGTTACAACGCGTTGCAACACGTAGAAGTAGCTTACATATATTGTAACTATTGATAAATACACGAAATTATTGCGTTGTAACACGTTGCAACAGGCTGAACGTCTAAGACGTTCTTGGGTTGAAACAAAACCCATGAAAAGTCAGTATTACTACCCCCCTGCCTCCGGCACCAGTAGCTGGCAGCGTCAAAAGACCATCATCTCCGGAGCATCGCAAATCTCAGGATGATAGACGCCCCAACAACAAGCGCTTTCGTCCAAATTCACCGACATCAGGTTAGTCAGAAAGGGTCAAGGCGGGTTGGCACTCACCCCCCTTACGTTTAGGTCCATCATAGGATCAACATCGGTAGTAGTCATAGCTTTGGTAACCATACCGATGGGTGGGAGTGGCGTACAATATGGAACCTTACCACAGCGCTCCAGACAAGAATCTATTATGACAGCGGCTGGTAACAGGACGGAGAAATATATGGATGACTACCATTGTACTCTTCATTCCTAAGAGCGACTCAACAGCTCCTTGTCTCTGGCGACGAACGTGGGATTTGCAGGTGACACATCTGAAGGCTTCTACTGCTGACATGTAGTCTCCAAGGTAAATTAGATACATCAACACCGGCACCATCTTGCAAATATGCACGAAAAGAGAGTCGGGCCTGCCGCATTTTTTAAGTGTTAAACAAGTTCTCCGACATTTTACTAGTTCAACAAAGAGCGTGGCATTGAGAGGGAGCGTTATACAAGAATACTGGAGCTAAGAGAATGCACCTAGATATGAAAGAGGGAAACCTAATTCGTGATCAGATGTGTCATCCTCGTCCCGCATCACTCTTTCCTCTTCGGTGAATTTGGCATTGTCCCTGGCGCCGTCGTCTTCTCCCTCTGAGGCTTAATCCTGGGTCCCCTTCTCGGCTTTGGGAGGGACTGCAGCTCCTGAAGTTCGATCTGGACTTGGTCCCATGTCGCCTCAAAGACACTAGGGTCCTTGATGAGCGTTACTTCCTGCATACCAAGACGCCGCTTGTGAGCCTCTGACAGACATCTCCAGTGATAGAAGAGCGTGTACGTATGCGTACGGTTTCTGAACTGTTAGGGATCCATTTCTCAGAAGAATCATAGATTAACAGATGAAATGATAGCTTACTGGCGTTGCCTGACCTGCCATGTTGCTGGTCTCATCTTCGCCCACCTCCAGTTTGTCGAACTGGCCACACATGGCCCTAGAGTAGATGAGCGTGGGGATTTCAGAAGCATCGATGTTGTCTAATGAGATATTAGTGATTGTAAAAACTATATGAGGCTGGGGAACCATGCTTACGCTTGCATCTGTGGCATTTAGCGAATTCGTCCTTTAGATCAGGATCCTGTAGGGTGGTACCTTTACGCATATACCGAAGCAAATGAGCGCTGTCGCTAATTTGGTCGTATATCTTCTGCTTCATTATGTGCGCGTGAGATTGTACTTCGATGGCTTTTGGCGACAACTTTTTCTTGTATGCCAGTCTACTTCCGACGTCGCCTTCGATGGCTAAGATATGTCTGGCCGCTTTCATTCTTGCATTTCTTGCCTGAAAAGACGATTGTTAGATGCTGGAAATCATCAAATCAAGATTTTCACCTGGCAGCGCCCTGACTCGGTCTTGACCTTGTGCTCAGGCTTTTTTCCTAAGGTCTTCTGGTTTTTTGTCTGCGTCAAGTCGTCAGCCTAGGCATTGTAGTAGTATATTATGTAAGACTTACAACACCCCCACGTTCTCCAGTGTTTTTTTCTCCTTCTACGGTTCGCGGTTTGGTCTAGTATTCAGTGAGCATATGGAATGGACAAGAAGCAGTTGGCAGGAATGAGTGGTGTACTCATGGCTGGACTCTGCATGTTGGCTTACAAAAGCATCTTTGCCACCCTATTATAAAACCGTCATCAGCAACAAGCGACCGCAGAAAGTTAAATACAATTACCTTTGCTAAATCCTTGGACTGTAACGGAGAGTTCGTGACAGTAGTGGGTGTTATGTTGGAATTTCCGTTGTTGTTCGACATTTTTTCTGACTTTGTGAGAGACTAGTGAAGGCGAAGAAGGGGGGATAAAAGTGAAAAGAACACGCCTACCCTTGACATACACGTGATCAGTGAGTACAGTGGTTATGTATGGCGTATACAGATACCGGTCCGTACCGTGGCCGACTTTAACGACCTAAAATACCGCCATATTCATACGGTTTGGATACCGTCGTTGAAGGAGGGACAGAAGACTATCTTATGCCATAAAGGTCAGTACCTATGACCTAAAAGAAGCGCATAACACTCACCCTTTGGCACCGGATATCGGTCGTCATCATCATCAAAGTATCCGTTTACAGACAACGGTATGGACACAGTACGGATATGACATCAACCGCACCGTGCCATGGCCAATAATTTTTATACGGTCTACAGCCATATTGCTACGGTCTTATCTATAATGGTAAGTTGCACATCCCTATCAGTGACGTCTCACATGCATGATATTGACTTTTTCCAAACCACTGACTTTACGGGTATGGGCCGGTAAATATGGTACCCATATCCACTAGTACAGTGCACATCCCTAATGTTGTCGCATAATTGATGTCCTAGGGTGTTGTGTGCTTGTCATGTCTTGCATACAATTTTCAGATGCAGTTTATACATATTTGTATATAATTAACTCACATCCGGTGGAAGGAAGGAAGTGATAAGGACTTATATTATCCAAGAGAGTGCGTCTGCTAAAGTGTGATGGCACAGCCACATTCAATATTAATGCATAATTGATGTCCTATGATTTTGGGAGCTTGCCATGCCTTGCTTATAATTTTTGGATGCGGTTTATACTTGCCTCTATATGATTAACTCACTTCTTGTGAAAGAAATTGAGTGATAAGGACTTATATTATCCAAGAGAGCGTGACACTGACTCTGCTAAATGGCCAGCTGCCATATTGGGTGTGGCTATGCCATCACACTTCAGCAGACGCACTCTCTTGGATAATATAAGTCCTTATCACTCAATTTCTTTCACAAGAAGTGAGTTAATCATATAGAGGCAAGTATAAACCGCATCCAAAAATTATAAGCAAGGCATGGCAAGCTCCCAAAATCATAGGACATCAATTATGCATTAATATTGAATGTGGCTGTGCCATCACACTTTAGCAGACGCACTCTCTTGGATAATATAAGTCCTTATCACTTCCTTCCTTCCACCGGATGTGAGTTAATTATATACAAATATGTATAAACTGCATCTGAAAATTGTATGCAAGACATGACAAGCACACAACACCCTAGGACATCAATTATGCGACAACATTAGGGATGTGCACTATACTGTATACAGTATATGGCCGTAAAGCCATTGTCCCAGACGTAAAGCCATTGTCCCAGACCGTCATGGAACTATCTGTATAAGGTAGTTGAACCACTCAGAACTCTTAGAGTTCATTGAAAGTCCAGTTCCAAAAATGAAATAAGAAATGAGACTAATCCAGTACTGTCAATTTGGTTAGCTATATAGAATCACGACTTTTGTTGAACTTGAAGTCGTCAGTTAACACCCTTGATCATTGCTGGTAATCTTCGGAAATATATGGCATGTGATCGGAAACAAATGTCCCGTCCGTGAGTCGCGTGTTGGGCAGCCTTGAACCTAACATTGACTGCCATCTGTATAGCAGAGCTACCTCATGCCTCTTTCTCCGCCTAATCCTATTTTGAATTCATTTTCAGATGCCGCCTTGCCTCCACATATTCACCTAGTTAACCCGACTCCTAACCCTACACCTTGTTCTACGCCACCAGAAACTCCAGTATTGTTGTCTACCATATCAAATTGGCCTTCCCTCCCTTCTTTGAGACCTCCTGTCTCTTCTAGTCTACCTCCAACATCTCTCAGCATTTCAGTTTCTCTGCCGGCATCTGGGTCAGGCTTCTCCAGCTTGCCATCAGTGTCCGCGACTTCAGAGCGGAGGACCAAATCTGTGTTTTGTTCATCACCCCCATCCTGCGATCGCCACTCCAGCAGTGAAAGGAGCTCCAACAGCATAGATGGGTCTGAGCTAGCTGATGTCCAATCAAAACCATTGTCAGGCATCAGGCATTCTGTCCAACCTAAAAACTCGACGTATCTTGTACACGGTGGCCCGGGCCGACATCATCACAGCATTGGTCGCCGGCAAAATGGACGAGTCAGTGCCCCGAATCAGAGCAAGGAGAAGAAGCGCAGGAACAGAGGAGGCAGGACACGCTTGTCCCACGAAAAAGTAGGAATGGCTGAAGCGAAGCCTAGTATGCTTGTGAGTGATCTCTTTTGCGATATTTTGATTTTTCTCAATTTCTCTCAGATTGAAGGGGACTGTGTATTGCCGCCTCCTACCACTACAAAGCCCCAAAACCGTCGTCGACAACAGCTGCCGCCTCCAGATGTAGCCAAACTGCAGGATGCAGTATTAGAAGCAGCCCGGCAGCATGATATGTTCGTCAAGATCCCCAAAGACATCTACGCTAACGTTGATCGAACTCGTCCGAGTCTTCTCAGCCAACTTATGGAAGGGGATTGTGATCCCACGTGTTTACCCCTAAATCAATGCCGTGCGCAGTCTACTACGGGACTCGGCTCTGAGAGCAGAAGAAATAGAAAAGACGCAGGGCTACAATTGAGTCGTAGTGCTGCAGCAGTTCCAGTCTGCTCAGAGATCACGGTTGGGAGCACACGAGACCTAGGAGTACTCAAGACGAAACCTGTAGGTCCAGGTCAGATGGGGAATAGCAGATACCAGCCGAGAGGACCGCCTGACGACCAGGAGATGGACGACAACTCAGATGAGGATGACGGTTTCATGGAGGAGTATCTGAGAGGACGTTTTGGAAAGAGAGGTGCTGAAATTTTAGGAGTTAAGGGGCGTGGTAGCGAGCCATCCATTCATTCTCCCACTTCATCACCGCCTATACCAACACCGTCTGCTCAGGACCTTTCCACTCTTGTTGAACACACGTTGTTGGGGCTCCCATGCGCTATACCTGCTGCCGCTATACCTTCAACACCACGGACAACAAGATGGAACATGCTTAGGAATGAGATATCCGACAGTATCCGGCAGAATCTTTTGTGGTGGCGATATGCAGATAGGAAAAGTCTACTTGGTCCCCGGAGAAGGGGTGGTACTTCCGTATCTGATGGCAAGCCTAATGCAGTAATCAACCCTGTTGTAAAGCAGGTAGACCAACTGCAGTCTGATGGAGCTGATGCTGTGCGGGAAGTGGTAAGAAGGGGGCTGGAACAGATGCGTCTGCAACGTAACAAAGACTGGCGCACAGAATATCATCCTATGTAATATGATTATTTGTATGGTATCAATGGTACAAATTTGCATTGTGAGCTATGCTCTAGCCCTACTGCACATGAAATAGAAGTGCTCGAACCTCGTCAATGGAGGTTGGCAAGAAGGATATTAGAACGCCTGATTCTATTTGCCGGGATGCCAAGCAATCACAAACACGCGGAGTCAATTTCGGCCCTTTCTCTCCTGCTATTACTGGACTCGCATTGCTGAACTGATCTTCCCTGCTTTCGCACGTCTAGAGAAGAAAGCAAAGCTCCAAACACTCGGCCTTCTCTTAGTCTCGCTGCTTCATTCCATGACGATTGTCCAGGGGCAGTCTTTAATGACAGTAAGCATCGCGGAAAGTGTTACTAGAATCGCTATTAACAAGACGACAACTTCAAGCTTGACTTCAATGACTAGCAGAAGTAAGAGCTGGTGCATTACTGCCAACCTCGGCCATAGCTCGGCGCTTTCAGCCGAAGTTGGATGAGGCATTTTAGTACGTATCCTGCTGCGTCCCTTTTATCTTATGCTTACTCTTGAGGGCAGTCACAATTTAGATCGTACCTGTCGTCATCAAGAGGGAAATATGCCCATGCTGGGGTAGCCATCTATGTGGAGAGGCGGTATGGCATCTAGAGAAAGGTGTTGTTCGCGGAAGCACGTAACACGGGTTCGTTTCTCTGCAAATCTTCTGGAGGATGTAGCCTAACGATGTGATAGATAATGTCCTCCGATCCCTGAGGAGACGTTTAACCTGAGGCAGAGGGAGTGCTCCTGTTGGACGGTATCGACTTGGATCAGACCTCCTCAGTCCATTCCCGTGTGAGGACCATGATTCTCACCCTAAGTGATGGATTCCTCATACTCTACGCCTTTCATCTAGCACTTAGTGGGTGATAGGGAGCCTTTTCTGGGTCGGACGGTGTTGGGGGGTAGTTGTCTTTAAAGTGATAATTGATAATGAGCTTGCTACGGCAGAGGTGTGCTTTTTGTTCCCTCAAACTTCAAGTGCATTTACCTACCCCTCTAGACAGAATGGGAAACCTGCCGGGTGACTGGAGAGCAATGTGCTTGGAGTTAGATGAGTACGGTAACACTGGTCGGAAAATGTGGACAAGGAGCAGTTCCTTCTTACTATGTGCGTCATTCTCCTGCCTTCTATGACCCTTCTAAGAGGAAAACTAGATTGATGTCGCCAACTACACGGATGCAAGAGCTGTAACGGCCGTAATTTTTGATTGCAGTGCACTCGCGCCTTTGTCTTTGACGACGATGACGACGAGCACTAATGACACTCTCCGCCCTTCCGCCAACAATCGCTTACCATCGCTCAATCAGCTTGCTGCTCGCATCAACATCAATGTTCCACCAACCCAATCGCCCAGTTCATCGTCATCAACAACAGCTCCGCGACCTCGCCTCGCCGCATTTGCACTGCGGACCGGCTCGACGACATCAGTCGCTTCCTCCGTAACGACGGCAGACTCCGTCGCTGTCAACGCACCCACGACAAGATCGGCCTCGCCATCGACGCCTCCAGCTGAAGAAGTTGAAGTCGTTTCTCCAGGCGGGGAACCGCTGACGGCGGAGAAGCTGGAGAAACACAATCAGCTGGAGGGTGAGAAGAAGAATGTGAAGGTTGGATACAAGAACATCCCGAGTCTGGATGCGATCACTGCCAGGCTCGCCAAGACTCGTGCGCTGAGCATCGATGGCTCGGCTAAGCCACCGGAAGCGGAGATGATTGAGGATCCGAAGACGCCAGGCGTGCCGATGAAGGCGCCCGAGCACCCGCTGCAGTATCTTTGGTACGTTTTCTTACTCGACGCACCTTTTCGTACCAATCTTAGTCGTTTCCAGGACGATCTATCACGATACGAAAGCCAAATTTCCCTACACCCCCGCCTCGAACTCGCAGCCTTCCACCGCCACAGACGGTACCTTCTCCCACTCGACCGAATCCAATGACTATGAAGCTGGTCTTACTGTCATTGGCGAGTTCAACACTGTCAAAGACTTTTTCCGGTACTTCAACTGGCTGAAACCGCCCTCCAAGCTCGAGCGCAATTCGAATTACCACCTCTTCAAGTCGGGTATCAAGCCCATGTGGGAGGACGAGGCTAACGCGAACGGGGGCAAGTGGGGTGTTGACAATGAAGAACAACCCTGGGTTGCTAGATCGGTGCTGGAAACTGGCTCGCCATGGCCTTGGTAGGCGAGGAGCTTGAGGAGGGCGACGAGATCTGTGGGGCGGTCGTCAGTCTCAGGAGCAAAGTCGATAGGAGCCAGGTCTGGACGAGGAGCAAGGACGACATCGAGAAGCTCAATGGTATTGGGAGGAAACTCGTCAAGCTGCTCGACGTCTCTGAAGCAGATGGGATTGGGTTGGAGTTCCAGTATAATACGGACGACAGGCCACAGCCGAACAAGTTTTTGTCGATCCAGGCGATGCCCCAGACGGGTTATCGAAAGTCGGATTTGCAGTCTCCTGTTCTGAGTCCAGGCGCTTTTGGAAGCTTTGGTGTTGGGATTGGGGGTGGTAGTGCATGGAGGGGGTCCAAGAGGTCTTGATTATCGAAAAATTGTAATGTAATTCGTTGTTCGGTTCTGCTATTTGACGGCTTTTTCTTGAGGATTTGATGGTCGTGACGTGATATTCTTGCGCAAATTCTGCTTGCTATGCCGTTCAGCGTTGATATTCCGCAATTACGGCAAAGTTGTTCTTGCTGTGGCAGCGTGATTTACGGGCGGCTACGGTCAGGATGGATCTTGCTATTACTCGTATATCGTGGGTATTGGTCATCGAATCTATTATATCGTACGTAGCCCTTCAACATCGAATCCGTGCTTTTCCCTTCAAACGCATGCTCGCGAAAATCAAGCGAGCCGGATCGGTCTTGTTGAGGTTGTTTATTTATCAGTGCAACAATGACATTGCGTTCCAGTACGAGTTCTGCGGAACGACATCTTTTCGATCCTTTACTATTAGAGTTGGAAAGAAATACCCCCCAGAAATTCAAATTGTCGGCGTGTCCACACGTTGCACGTGATCGAGACCACTGCTTTCCCACGCCATGTTCTTGATATCTCTTTCCTTCCTACCACCATCACCCCCAGTATGGCGCCGTCTTCCTTGGAACGCGAACGACGGCAACCGTATCTCTCTGAAGCCATCCTCGTGCCTAGCTGTAGTTGCTCTCACGTTGTCGGTGAAATTGAGAGAATGCTGAGGGTTGTGGGCTGGTGGTAAACTTTTCACCTGGCAGGGAAGTCCCTCAGACTGAAATGTTTTTTTTCGCAGCTCTGGGTTCTTCTCTTGGCTCTTGAAAACCGTCTTATGAAGCCAATCTTCGCTGTATTACCCGGCATAAGCAGCGGCTGACCGCGTCTGCGCCAGGCGAGCGGCAGCGAAGGATACTCGGGTCTGTCACCTATGTAAGGACTCGCATCTCTCGCCTGCTTTCTCTTCACTGACATGATGCTAGTCCTACCTATACTGCTAGCGCTCACAAATGTTCTGCTCATCAATGGACGCGACCTGTTTCATGTCCAAGAACCACATTTTGATCTCGGTTATGGGCAAGGCAGGCTGCATCCAGGTCGGCTCGGTATTTCTTTCCGCTTTAACGTGTGCTGATAGCATTGGTAGACGCCCCGATACCCGAGTGCGCTTGGTCTTCATTGAATGCTACGATTGGCGGACGACTCCGAAGGGCTACACCATACGCCAGATCTTGCTTTAGTGCGTCCTTCGACGAGGGAGAATGCACAGGGGTGATAAACGAGTACCTTGATCCTGGTACGTTCTCTGTCCTTCTTCCCTCCGACATACTGAGGCCATTACAGTTAGACGTTCCGATCACTTTGGCGCATACATCAACGTGGGTATTGTTTTCGTTCCCCGAAACTTCGAGTGCATTTACCTACCCCTCCAGACGGAATGGGAAACCTGTCAAGCGACTAGAGAGGAATGTGCTCTGAACTGGATGAATGTGGCAACAAGGGATGGAGAATGTAGTCAGGGCGCAGTTCCTTCTTACTATGTGCGTTGCTCTCCCACCATCTACAAGCCTGCTAACAGGAAAACTAGATTGATGTCGCCGACCGTACGGATGTGTCAGCGGCTTTCGATTTCTCGAGACGTACGGGCGTTCCTGTAGTCATAAAGAATACTGGAGTGCGTCAGCTTGACGTTCTGGGTAGGCCCGGGCTGACTTTTTCCTCAGCACGATTACATGGGTCGGAGCAGTGGACCGGGGACATTAGGCATTTGGGTATGTCTTCCGCTCTTAGTCGGCGCCGATTGAAAGCCTCATTTCGTACTGGTAGACACACCACCTGAAATCGGTCAGCATCTGCCCTACCTAGGAATACCGACGCTCATTACCACGAGTAGATATCCTACGAGAAGACCTTCGTTCCGCAAGGATGCGAAGCAACGGCGGACCCGGTTCCCGCTGTAACTTTTGGGGTAAGCTGCTGATCACTTCCATAAGTGCGCGCGCTCAACGTCTACTGTAGAGCGGAGCTCAGTTTTCGGATTTATTAGCGTTTGCGAACGAGAATAACCTGACAATACCTGGAGGCTCAGATGCCACAGTTGGCGTTGGAGGGGGTTACCTGCAGGTTAGTTCGTTACTTTTCTCGACACGACTACATACTGACTTGTCTTTTGTTCTAGAGTGGCGGTCACAGGTCTGACCAAACCTCTTGGTCCTGTTAACAGTAACTCATGTTCTGTCGTCTAGCCCGCTATCAAACATATTCGGACTAGCAGTTGACCGCGTAGTACGTACGGTTCTCCTGCACCTTTTCAGGTATCTAAACTTCATGGGCACAGCTCGAATTTGAGATCGTTGTACCTACTGGCGACCTCCTCATTGCAAACGAGTGTCAGAACCCCGACTTTTTCTTCGCTCTCCGTGGGAGGGGGAGGAACGTTCGGTGTCGTCATGAAGGTGACAACGTGGGTGCTACCTAGAGCAGAGCTCGTCACGTATGCTACTTTTTCTATGCTACTCCTTGCTCTGACAAAAGATGTACTAGTGTGTCGGCGTTGTTCAAGCCTACAACGTCCATCCAGAAGTTTTTGGAGTTCGTCATCCCTTAGTCGGATGGGCAGAAGACGGCGAGTGCTTTCTGATAGTGGATCTTTCTTCTCTCATCACCATCCTTCTCTAGGCTGGAGTGGATTCATTTATGTACGCTGCCACCTGTGTCTCCGTCTACCGGCTACTGATCCTAGATTAGACTGCCGGGATCTTCCACATGAGTAAACTCAAATCCATAGGACGAGTCGCATTCCGGCACTCATTTCTGAAGTCAGCTGTCAGTACATAACACGGTAGAAGGCTTATTGCGATACACTGTGCAACGGGCTCCTTGTAGAAGCTTTCGTGACTTCACTGCATGTAAGGTATCCTCTCAAGCTGATCTTGGCTTTGGTATCAGTCTCTAACATTCTTCATAGGTCCCATCCCAAAGCGCACTTCTGGCTCCGGGGCCATCTTCTTTCGCTATGGCGCTGTATTACGGCTAGTACAGGGCAACGGCTAGCTTTCATGACGTCCCCTTGTGTTCGAGTCTATAGAGTCGATTAAAGAGTTAGTATTCGTTTTCCGAACAGTGGGGATGTCTGGCCAGTAATTCTACATGTAATTGTCACTAGGATTGCGAAATTTGACATATTTGAACCCATTATTCTTGTTCCAATTCTGTTTAAGTTAACAGTGTTCTTCAATGTCCAATATTCAGAGTAACGGCAATGTACAACGCTTTGAGGATATATTAAGACTCCGTGAATTCCTTGAAAGAGAAGGTACCCGTCACTGAGGAGTCTTTATATCAAAATAAAGAGAAGATGAAAGAAGAAATAAAATATGCTATCAAGCAAAGAAGGGAATACCCTTGTCGTGTCTAAAAATTTCTTCCACAAGGAACCGTTTGGCAGCACTCGAACTAAAGATCTTCTGGAGTCTATTAAATTGCAACAGAAAGCTAATAACATGATGGTTACCACCACTCTAGAAAACGAAGAATCCTCCCACAATAGCACCCACCACACCGAGGGAAGATAACCCGAGCATAACCTCACCCCTAACCCCATTCTTGTCGCTGTTCTTACTCGCAGCCTTTGCAGCACCCCAATACACCTGAGTCGGTCAACGTTCCTATTGTAGTAGTCCCAGACTACACAAGTTAGTACGAGATGAGGAGAGCAGTGTAAATAAATGTACGCTTGCCGAAGTCGAGGTCATAGTTATAGTTACTGACATAGTCGCAGCCCCGCCTCCGATAGCAGAAAAAGTCGTACATTGCGAAGACGACAGGACAGGGTGCGGAGCAGGGGTAGAGGCCTCACCTTGGTGGAATGTCAAGGTGCCGTAGACGCCCATAGGCTTGACAGGCTATCAGACCAGGGAGGGAAAAATCGAGCAAAACACGAACCTCTCCACTATCACCATTGCATGACTTGAACACGCCGGCATCGTAGTTGGCGGGCACGTTCCAGGCGCATCCCATCAAGTCGTATATATGTTCACCTGAATTTGGTTGACGGTTAATAGTTACAAGTGAGAATAGTAGCTGGCTCCTCTCAGAGTACACGGCTGGGGCCTTACCGGCAGGATTACAAGCTCTGAAGCAAAAATCGGTGGCTGCCATAAAATTCCTACCAAAGAATGAGGTATGGGTGGTCATATGAAACTACCTAGTACTCACTGTCCACTCGAACATTTGCTGGGTCTTCCCAAAAGCAGAGGAGAAGAGTAGACCTCCAATAGGATTTCCTGGAAATAAAACAATATCAGTTTCGTGCCAGAGACGACAACATGAAAGGTTGACCATTTCCGTCGGCACCATGAGGATCGAGTTCCCCGCCTTCATTTCCAGCCGGAATGTTCAATTTTGTCAAATCTCCGGAGCCTGAAAGAAGAGCGTATTTCAGAAAGGATTTGTATAAAAGCAGGGCATGCTTATACCGGCAATCTGTACAAAGTCGGGTGTCAGAACGAAATGGATGCCAGTGATAGTGCCTTCGGGGATGACACGAGTCCTGTAGCCGCTCTAGAAGGCTTTGAGGAAAGGAGGTCGAAGCAAAAGACGAGAAGATAGACCTTGAGATACCATGAAACCTCGATACACTAAGTAAGCCGTGAGTATCTATAAGAAGGATAATGACCGTTTCAACGAACCTCTGTAGCACCGATAGTAGAATCTAGGCCCGAAATAGGCGGAGCCCATAGGCAGCTATAGGATTCATATGTATAAGAGATCTTCGACCTAAAGGCGAAACGAACAAATCATCAGCAGCGTTGACTAAACTAACATCAGATGGGAAATCACCTAGGGTGGGCAAAAGAATAATAAACTATAGATGTTCTGGCACATCGAGTCTTGACTGGACGTCGTCCCACATTTATTGGTCCCTTGCCCAGTTTTGTCAGGGGCGGTATCTGGTAGGTAGGTCGCAGTATACTGTGCGCCTACGGAAGAGAGCATTGCGAGGAAAACGATAACGGCGGGGGTATACATGGTGGGAGAAAGTGAGAGAGTTTGCTGGAATTCGCGTTGTATCTGTTGTATATCTAAATATAGAACGAAAGTTATGAGCTTTGGGCTTTGACTACAAATATGACGTACTAGTTATTGGCCTTGCGAGGCGCAAGACGGTCGGATAAGTGGAGAAAAGGAGGGTCAAGATCCATTACACGGATTGCCCCAGTGCAACAAGACAACTTTCTCTAAGAGCCGCGGGCGTGGGCGGTGGGTATACCAAGGACGTCAATTAGGAGTGACTGAAGAGATATGCATGAAGGCGCAATGATCAGCGCTATCAGCGTAAAATCGCACAAGACTTGTTCATTGTAAACAGAGAGGACGTGGCGGTTGATATTAATGAATGTAGGAGGCCGGATGCTGGTACTTAAGACCTGAACGCGGCTCAAATCGAGGAACCTGTAAAGGAGAGTCAGTAGAGGCAGTGTCATATCATGGAAGTTCATACATGTCTATGGTCTGGAGGTAGGTACAAGTCGCTGAGATAGGTCGTCACCTCGGCTGTTTGCTGGTAGTGGGGAGGACATTGCAACATCGTAGCTACTCGTTGAGGTGTCCGATTCGTCTGGTAGATGGCGGTGTGATTCGCATTTGAATTTCTTCGTATGAAATCAAGAGGAGCTAAGGGCGGGGAAATATAGTGGAGCTTGAAGTGACATGAGCTGGATTAGACCATCAGTACGCCGAGTAACGTTAAGAAAACGCACCTGGAACCGGGATAGAACATCAAAGGGGCTTCGTGTGTGCTATAACGGGCCTACATCATGCGACATGACGAACTGAGTGATGATATCAAAACACAGCGGCATCCTCCAGCCCGACCGCCTTCGCCATTCTCAGAAGAATAGTCTGTATTTGTGCGCCTATCCACTCAAAGGTCGAACAGACATTGTGCAGGAGGGCACGCAAGGTATTTAAATCCGTTCCAGGGACGAGATGCTCTGCACAACAAGCTACAACATCGGAACTGGGGGCGACAAAGACGCGAATATGACGTAGACAGAGCGACCTAGTATCGAGGAATACCGTTCGCAATAACAGTATACCGGGATCAAATTTGTTTTGACGTGCAAAAGGTCTACATAGACAACGTAATGAGTACTCGTGCAAAGAGCAAGGACAATTACCTCAAACGTGACAAACTACCCGCAGTACCTCTAGCGCATTAAGAGACAGGAGAACATCCTGACACGGCGAGTTTCCCCACTTCCAGGATTGGCAGGGATTGGTCATAACAAAGAGGCGAAGGTCATGCGAGGTCATCTGGAAGGGATATACAGTAGCCTATTCCATGGAGAGCCTCGGGAGAGAATGAACAGGCCGACACTGATCAAGAGCTTTTGTGAGCTGAACCTTGTTCCAGAGGAGCATCCAGTATAGAGCCTTATCGTCAATGATGTCAAGCTCAGGCACTTTACGGATCTGAATGGAAATCCGACCGAGACTTGGAGAAAGGGCGCCTTTGAGTCATCAAAATGATCATGCGTAGTCTGAATCGCAACGACCGTGATATAGCTTATAAACAAGCACAGCACCATCTCAAAAATAGCTGAGTACGATGATCCCCAAGTCGAGGATGTCCTTCTGTGCTTGATGAAGACATCGTAGACGGCCGGTCTGTAGTCTGGTCCAACAGAGAATGCCGCAAGTCCGACGACAGACCGAGTGCGAGACGTACGAGGATGTGAGTGAATAGGAAAGCTTGGATTGTCATGCGAATGATGTTGATGACTTGGGAACGGCCTTTCATGTTCACACGCATGCACATAACCGAAATCAATGACGGCGGACTGGATATTCAGATGAGGAGAAGCAACAGAGTTTGTAAGACAGCGGTTATCGTTCTACTCGCAGTAGGAGACCTAACTATCGAGACTTTCCCGTACTGTCTCGTGTTTACTGAATCCTATTAGACAATGTTAGTTCGTAAAGAGGTATCATACTGCGATGGTACTCACGAAATCTTCGGCTTCCAAATACAAGCAACAATTAACAGGATGTTTGCAAGCCTGTGCAAGAGTATTGTCAAAAACGTACAATCAACGAACGGAATGTACTCACCTAGGCCGCATCTTCTACCCTAACCCAGTACCTCTTCCTAGCAGAGCTCCTTGATCGAGCCATCCAGGGTATCTCTTCCATTCTCAGATGAACGCCCCATATTCTCTCGTCGTGCCCACCTGTCTAGTCTCTGCCTCTCTTCATTTCATCTCAATCTGGCCAACATACATCAGGCTTTCGGCACGACAACACTGATATTATCGCACGCATCAGGTACCACTTCGAATATGAAGGCAGTGCAGGAATGGGACAAGAGGTGTAGATTGTGAGTATTTCGGATGCGACAAGCCTGGTCGATCTGAGGACGGTTCCATATTCGCTTGCTCTTCGTGCGCCGTGGCTAATTTAAGGATGAATACAGCAAGACCATTCATACAGGATGAGGGGACGTACCATAGCGAACGCTTCTCAACGATGTCTAGCTCTTTTAACCAAAAAGACCGTCAAAATGCAATTGTCGTGAACTTTGAAGTGTCCTGATTGCGCAACTTCGACCTGCACAAAATGGCGTCAGAATGCGGATACTAATAAGGGATGAAAACAGAACTCACCTGACGATGAGCCATGGATTCTTCTTGTACGATGGTTTCGGTGCCTCTGTCGGGTTAGGCGACAATTGATGCTACCACGCGCAGCGGCGCATTTCAGAGACATTGTAGGTCATAACAAGGTTGTCCCGAGTCTCCATGACGGTAATCGACCCAGAAGATACCGTTGATATTCGCCCATGGGATAGTACGTTGGTCTTTGGTAGGTATAGGTATCGGTACCTAAGCAAGGTCCCAATCAAGGACCACCAAGGATAGAGGAGAGTTTCGTATTGGTTTCCATCATCTATACAAGAATGTAAGACTTCAGTCTGAGTTGGTAAGAGAGAAATTGCTGACTGATCATGCTGCCATCTATGCGTTCGAAATGGTCTACCGCAGTTGGCATGACGGTGCTGGTGGAGACGATGAGAACATCAAGGTCGGGCTTCTCGGGGATGATTTTGTAGTCAAAGGTGCATAGGTGTGCACCCAGCGAGGACCAGGCTGCCAAAGCTGGATTCGGCGATGGAGAGGATGATGGTTCAGTCGGAACTATGACCAGCGCTAGCGAGGTGATGTACTGTCTTCAATGATAAACGGAAGGAACAATTAGCAGAGGAAGTTTGGGGAGGATCACAACTCACCTCGTAACATTTCTCCGTGGCAAGATCAACATTCAAAGAACCGAATTTGCAGCAACATGTAGTTTTGGGATCATCGTGATCCTGATCTTTGAATGATATCAGCCACGGAAGGAAATGACTTCACTTCAAGCCACGTACCTCTCTCCAGGCCCTCCCTAGCCCCCGACACCTGAGCACAATATATTCTCTCTGCAACCCGCCTCCCTGCGATGTTGTCTATCCATGACTGTTGTGATAATAAGCTGCGATCACCGGCTTCTGAATTTTGTATCAGCCATGAAAGGCATGGATTTCACTTTAGTCCACGTACCCGTCGACGCCTGCCCAGCCTCAGCTTTACGACACCCTAGTGAAACATATTCTCTCTGTGAGCCACCTCCCTCTCCGTTATGCTCGCTTTCGAAGCTCCTAATGCATTCATCCTTGCCTGTTGTGATACGTAAGCATCAACGAGGGACGTGAATCATGCTGGAGCACATACGGTAATATTGCAGGTGGCGGGTGGCAGCTTAGATGACACGGATGAGGAAGACAGGCTGCAGAAGTGATATCAATAAGTCCTCAATGCTGATAGTGAAACTCAGAACTCATACCCAAGATACTCCCGTGTACTCCACCATCATCTCTATACCGCTACAGCGACGCAGATCCAACACCTCTACGAGTTGCAATCTAGCGCCGACGTTCATTCCGAAAGTGTGGTCGGTATCAGCTCCAACAGATAAAATTGCATCGCAGCTCATCCCAGAAGAATGTAAGCCGTGGTCATGCACCTGTCATCCTAGCAGCATAACAGGTGCGTAGAGCATAGAGGGCGATCGTGATGCGGATGTGGAGTACCCCGATCCTCCACTATCGATGAGAGGACTTTCTGAGTAGTCCTCCGAGCAAGTCAAGCATAGAAGTCCCTTGCTCTCGTCGGTGGTCCTCGCGTTTCCTATCACCTTGGCTGGAGCAGCATCGAGAGTGGTTGGAGAGTGGAAAAGAGAAGTGGATTTTCCCACGGAAACGCGCAGAGGGCCCCTGCACGCAACTTGCAAGTGTCTGGGGTACTGGCAATTCAGTCTCCGACTTGGGCCTTCTTCCTCACACCGTCACCAGTCCTTTCATCACACCTTCAATGCCCTCTGTCCCTTCCCAACAAATGGGGCTCTTTGTTTTCCTAGATCTACCGGTACGAGACGTCGATTTTCAGGCCTCGCTTCGAACTCATAAGGTCCAGCAGTGGGGAGGCCGTCGCTGGGAAGATTCATTAAAATAACAAGTCTGCGAATTGGGATGACTTGGTTTCAGTACGGGTGCCGGTGAGTCTCAAATGCCTTTATATCTCTATTTTGTCCATTTATTCTTTCTCTCTCTCGAATTCTAGTTCCCGGTTCTGCCTATAACGGACGCCGTCACTCCTCCAAGGTTGCGCAGCGCTCTGTTCCCCTTATATGA